CCCACCATGACATTTCAATCTGACAAGTTTCCTGGCATGTGTTGAAGCATTATGTCGACATTCTTTCGGCATATGTTCTGATATTCTTTCATCTGGCATTATTTCCGGCACGGCATATGTTCTGACATTCTTTCAGGCGCATCTTCTGACATTCTCTCTGGCACATCTTCTGACATATCTTCTGACATTCTTTTTGGCATGCTTTCTGGCATCCATTCTGACATTCATTCTGGCATTCTTTCTGGCATTGTTTGGCATATCTTCTGACATTCTTTCTGGCATATCTTGTGACACTTTTCTGACATTCTATCTGGCATATCTTCTGACATTCCTTCTGGCGTTCTATCTCGTATATCTTCTGCCTCGCGGTTGAGGTCCGTTAGCCGAAATCAGGAACAGCAAGACGCAAAAAGTCAGAGTGTTTTCCACTGCTCGGATCATATTTTTGACAGACACAATATATACGAGGAAGGTACAACTGCTATATTTTGACGATAGCGGGATGTATCTGGAACGGCCCGGAACGGCAGGCGGCGCAACTGCCATCCTATGAAGTACTTGGCAGTGGCGAGCCGCCAATCAGCGATGATGACATTGTGCCACTGGGCGCTTTCCAGTTCCAGCTGCTGCGCATCTCCTTGTTCGAGCAGAACGCCGAATTTTGCCCCTACCTCAGCAGGCCAGCGCAACGCATTGGCCACCATGCACGGAATGGAGCGTAGAGCATCAGAGTCTTGCAAATGGGACACAGTGTCACGATCAAGTTTGAGTGAGTACATCTAGATCTTTTTCTTTAATTTGTGGTTTATTGTTATTATGTGTTTTCTTTTTTTCGTGGCCCTGGTGTTAGATCAGTACGAATTCATGAACCTTGGCTTGAAAACGTCTTCGCCACTGGTCCAGTTTCAAAAACATGTACGAAGATTGGCAAGAACTTTCAAGAATTCTCTTTAATCGTACATTGACGCAGAAGCAGAATAAACTATATGGTTTATTCATGCATATTTTGTGTTTCATTGAAACAAGTTTTTTCTTTGTGATGGTGCTGGTGTGTTCACCCCTTTGTCTTATTGATTGTGTTTGTTCTTGCTTGTTGTGAGTCTGGGCGATTCGGCAACACAAGAAACAATTTACGTTGATATGGTAGAGGGATTTTGCAAAAAAAACAACACAACATTGGAAAACAGGAAAGCAAAAGTAACACACAACAGGCAGCAGACGTGATTTAACAAATGTGTTTCAATGTGTTAAAGAACTGCTTCTTCAACACCACAATTGTTCAAAGTAAAAAACATATAGCACCAATGATTACAACTGTCAAACTCATTGAACACATGCATTTCCTTTACTTGGTTTCACCCCCATGTAAAGTCTTCACTAACAACAACAGCATCAACAACAACATGCATTCTCTTTCAACAGCCGCCAGATGAGCGATGAACCCACAAGAAGGTGATTAAACAACACACTTATATATATACACACACTGTGTATTTCAATAGTTTCTGAATTACTACGAATAACCCATGTCAGCCCTCGCCCCACTGGCCCCAAGTGGGTCCACCATGAATTTTGAACCCAACCCTTTAAATGCAAGAGGAGTGTTTTCCAGATCCCTTTCGAGGAACTGGCTTCCATGGGCAGGGTGATGATTTGGGTCATGAAATCGGCCATGGAAGGTCATCAGGCATCGGAAGACGGGTTCAACGAACCATGCCCCAAAAGAGAAAGAGAGACAGAGAGAGAGAGAGAAAAAGAGGGAAAAAAAACAAAAACACACTGAAATTTGATTGGATTCTGCTTGGCAAACAATTTTTTGATTTGTTTGCCCGCATGCAAGCCTTCCAGGAAACCAGAAGCATCAAAAAGTATCAGAGGTGAAGAGACGTGATCGGGAGTTGCTTAGGCCAATGTTTTGATTGAACCATTTTGCCATTGGTCAGGGGCCTCACCTTGGGTTTTGGACTTGAAAATGGATGAACCACCGAGGAAAGCACCCTGCAGCTGTGTCACCGGTCAGCCCATTGCATTCCGTGGAGGGCCGGGCCTATGGGAAGACCAGTGGCTTTGCACCTTGATGCTCAGCTGCACTCCAGCTGCCTGCGCACATCCGATTGAGTGGACATGAGGGGGGGCCCCCAGAGTGAACAGCGAGTAGATATCACACACCCCACAAGGGTGGTTTATGTAGACCCCGGGCATTGAAAGGTTTGTGTAGAATGGGGGGTGCACAGTGCACAGACATGTGCCTTTTGCCTCGCATGAGGATGCCCCCGTCCTATAGTGGCCACTAGAATCCAGATACGTGGGTTGGAGGGAGAGTGGATCAAACTGCATATCGACTGCGAAAATTGACACTCCCTGCAATCATCATCAGAACTACCTGCAGTATTCAGAACCATCCGAAATCGGTGCCATGCCATCCAACGTTCATGATTCTTTCAGGGAATGTACTCTCTAGGGTTCCAACATGTTCCAACCACATCCTCAGGTTCCAACCATATCCTCAGGTTCCAACCATATCCTGATTCTTTCATGATTCTCTAGGGTTCCAACCATATCCTCAGGTTCGGTGGTATTCGAACCCCCCCCCCCCCCCCCCCGTCTCAGGATCCCCCCGTGGGTCGTGCCTGGAGAGTGCTTCCCTGTTCGGCTGCCACCCGGCCCGCTGAATGAGAAATGCATTCGCATTTAGTGAAAGGAGGACATCGATGGCACCAGTGGAGAATGAACCAGAAACTCCACCTGTTGATTGGAATTTGTAGCCTGATTCAACCAGGTGGGGCAACAAGGTGCAATTGATGTCAGAGCAGTTCAGTTGGCCCTCCAAATTTGCCCAAACAGATGGGACAAATCCCTCGCCCTGCAGGTCAAGACTGAAATGGATTCCAATTTGTTGACCTGAATTGGTGGTAGAGAGCTCGCTCAAGTCGTGGAACTGCATCTCAGCAAGGTTGGCCAAATCAGGCTGACTTGACCTGGAGGGGGTGGCTGTACATTACATCAGACACTGGCGCCATGTTTACCATGTGCACCCGACAGGTCGGGGCATGGCCTGGGACGTACTGGGACTGGCCCAAATCACGCCGCGCGCGCCTGGCGCGCCAATCAAAAGCCCCTCAACCCTCCAAAACAAGCTCTTATAAAGGACATTACACATGTTCAAGGCTACCAACTGAGAGTCCATGTGCAAAAAAGATGTCTAAAAGACCAGATCAGAGGCCTTTCTCAGCGCCCAGCTGTCCGACCTGCGCGTACCATACCCGGCTGTCGTTTCTGGCCGCTTTCTTGACGAGCCGACCGGCACTCGAGCGGCCCCAAAACGAGGTCTTGGATGAAGCCAAGCATGCGCAACACCCAAAGACGTCGGGATCTGGACAGAGCTATATACCTTTGGGTCTATCCGAACCTACCTGTAACCGTCAGGATGCACTTATTACCTATTTTTGAACCAGGCCTGCAACTGAACCATCATCATCCACTGGGCCCAGGTAGATAGACCCAAGTTGTACGCTGAAGACAGTCCCACTAGAGAGAAAGGCAGTCCCATGAGGTGTGTGTTTGGGGAAGTGGCGTATGGTGGTTGAGAGATGGTCACAGTGATACACTTTGTCTCACCGGGCGGGCGGAGGGGGAACTTCCGAACTTGAGCCGCCGGTTTCGCCCGACCAGGCACGAAGATGCTAGCTTCTATGGGCATAAGATGTTTTGTAAACCTCTTCCTTTGCCCAGCGCGTCTCATTTGGGAAATGCACATCATTACTGCTATGTTGGGGGTGCTTGCGGAGACGTCTCTTCCACCTCGCCGTGCGCACGCAGCGATGGCCGAGTCCACGTTTTTCAGGTTTCCACGTCATGTCTTGTGGAGTTAATCATGCTCCCAGGATGGTTTGGTCTTGGACTGAACAATGCATCAGTCCAATTCTTGCACGAAGTGCACCCGAATGTCGTGATACACCTTAAGCAAAGGCGTGTCGTAGCCGGAAGAAACCACCGACTGCACTGAGGCAGTTTCGGCTGGGGAGGAAGCGCAGTGAAAAGACCCTTAAGGTAATGCGCGTTCCCAGCTTGTGCGGAGCTGTCACCAGGTGACAGCGCTCCGCTGTCGAATTGGTTCCTGACCACCCATCCGATTCGGCATCCCACGCATCACCCCAAGAAGATCCCTTAAAAACAGGACGACCCACGCGTCACGCATGCCTGGTAAGGAACGGTGTTTCAGCAGTTTGCCAGAAGATGAAACAAACAAACACCTCGTAACACTATAAGGAGCTTTATTCACGTTTTTGACGACTCGTGGCGTCCTGACCTGACAGGTTTATCCGACACTTGGAAGGGATGCTGGAAACTGCTGAAGCGCAGTGCCCCAAGGAGGCGCGGAACGCGAGGAAGGCGGCAAATCAGAGGTGAAAGAGGTGGTGACCGAGTCCCAATGTGTGTGTTTGTATGTGTCCCTATGGATCCACATGATCCACTGCCACCTTCTCAGAAGATAATTGGACCCGACTGGCTGGCGCCTACATAAACAGTCTCCCTGCTCACCGTACCTCAGGTTCGGTATGTGGATGCATAGGGGTTGAATGTTGAAGACTCCAAGAGATGGCTTGGAGTTCATGGACCTGGAATTCATGTCGCGAAAAGACATGATGTGATAGTGATCTTCAGGATAGATAGATGCGTGCCGGAGTTCGTTGCGCCAAAAGACCCCGTAAATCAGGCTTCCAAAATGACAGTACAGATTAATTTTCTATGTTTGAATACAATATCACTGGCCAACCTATATATGGAAGCCAGTGCCATTTGCCATCCCTGAAGTCGAGTGCTCGCACCAGTTGACTAGCACCTGCACAAAACATGTGCACCTTTTTTGAGACGGATCCCATCTCCAGCTCGCATACCCTCCGACTCACGAAGTGGAAAACGGCCTGCGGGACGACCGTGTTCCTCCTACACCCACACGGCTCGATCCTGAGGACTCCTTGTTGGGTAGGGCACGGGAGATGGCATATGAAACGCATGAGGAATGGCATGAGACAGCTAAGCTAAACAACCGGCCGGTTTCCATCCTGGTGAGGCCTTGCGCTTGGCGGGTGCAGATGCCTTATGGGCCGAGCTCTTACAGCTGCGGCAAAGCTGCCAGGCACCGGATGAAGAAGTGACTTGAGAAGTCTCCAAATCTCGGGTATGTGATGTGGACTCTTGAAATCTCTTGACGACCCAAGGGCTGTTTGGAACGTTAGGGTAATAGATAGATAGATAGATAGATAGATGGATAGATAGTTAGATAGATAGATAGAGAGATAGAGAGATAGAGAGATAGATAGATAGAGAGATAGATAGATAGATAGATAGAGAGATAGAGAGATAGATAGAGATATAGATATAGATATAGACGATATAGAGATAGATAGATACTTAGATAGTTAGATAGATAGAGAGATAGAGGGAGCTTTTGTTTGTTTGTTTTGGTGGATTTGGATGGTCAAAAACTCTTCAGGTGGGGGTTGAAGTATCAACAGTCCAGTCTATCAAGTACCTACAGGATTTGATAATGTGAATGGCGCCAGGGTTTTGGACACTGCCTTGAAAGAAACAACATTAAGGGAAACATCATCAAAGGGGGCATCAAGTGTATCGTATCGTGACTAAACTCCCTGGTGAGACCAGTGAGGATTGCAGGACAGCAAGGTCATGCAAGGGTTCTTGACTGCAAGGGAAGGGAGATGGTCTTGTTGCCGTTCCGTTTCTTTGCTTAACAACCATCCGTGTTTCTATGGTTGGATGCACCTTGATGCACAAGGATTGGAACCCTTTGCCCGAGAAACGACGCAGAGGCACCGCGTGCGCAGGAGGCCCTAAAGTTGCAGGTGGCACCCGGGCAAGTCCTTGAGAAAGTGCCAGCAATCCAGGAGCCGAAGAACACGCCTTTTGCGTTCGTTTTGCGCGTTGTCCGAACGCGGCGGAAGGACTCGACTGGGAAGATTTGGCAAAATTAATGAGTAAACCTTAGTCTATAGTTGTTCCATTGAAAGCTGTGTCATTTGTATTCATACATGTCCTCCTTGTCCAATACTTTGTCTTAATATTCTTGCACGTTTAGTAGCCTTAGCAGTGTTAGACCATTTGCACCATGATTCACTCCAAGTGTGGATTGGCTTTGCACCAGTGTTCCCTTCCGGGGTTCCAACAAAGCTCTTGGGTTCCTGGCGCATAGCACATATATCATCCTTGTCAGCGCTCCTGAGCATGTCACAAAATACAATGCAGGGTTGTTGATGGTAGTTGAGTTAAGTCGTATTTTCTGGTTTTAAGTCGTATCTTTTGAGCGTTTGCCTTGTGGTGGGGCGTTCTGCTTTTGACTTGACTCCGCCTTGTACCATGATTGTGCAATATTGTGATTGCGTATTGTATATATATATATGGGCTCGTGACGATTTGGGGGCCCCCTGTGAGATAAGATAATCATTATTTCCAAGTATGGTTTATAAACGAGCCTTATAGTTTATACACCATATCTTCGCATACTTAGATAAGTCCGAGCCCATATATATAATATATATATATGGATATGTTTGTCATGCCACACGTATTTGTCATGCAATTCTGGTTTATGGATACGTTTCATTTGCTTGTAGCTCACTAACTTCAATGTCTCTAATACATGATGACCGACCTGAGTTCCATCATTTGTACCTCACTTCTCCAACACCGAGGCAGCAACATGAATTCCATTATTTGTACCACACCTTGACCGTGTGTTCCCTTCTGCCCTTCTGTCTGTCTGTTTGTCTGTGAGTGCATTACGGTATGGAAACAAACCCGTGGCCAACAACTCAACAACTCTCTCTCTCTCTCTCTTTCTATGGTCTTGAGGTATGTTGAGGGAGGGGGGGGGAGGGGGGGGCAGAGGACTTTTTGGATGGTCTTGAAGTATGTTGAAGGCAAGAGGGGGGGGGACAAGGACTCTTTGGAGTTGGGCTTCCTTTCCGGGTTTTGAAACAATGTCAAGACTATTTGGCGCACCCACCCCCCCCTCTCCTTGAAGAGCGGCTCTCTGTCCCCCCCCTTTACCCTTTTTGTTAATGTGTTCATGCTTTCGTGATTTCCTCGTGATCCTGATTCTTTGTTTGTTTGATGTTCACCATGAGTTTATAAACTTTGCTGCTGGTTTATAAACTGTATGTGGTCAGCGTTCTCTTAGCATTGCTGCTCAAAAAGTGTTTACTCTCTTGTGTCTGTCTCATCCTTGGGGAGCACTACGGCATGGACGTCTGCATCGAAGCCGGCAAGGACAAATATATCCATTACATGGACACCCACGAGTACATGGTCATCGACGAAGGTGCCTACACGATCTCTGCTCTCCCGCTCATCCCGGTGCCTGCCAAAGGAAAAAAGTCTTTCAAAGAATTCTTTCACATCGTTCGTGGCCTTTCTGCCGAAGATCAAGAACAAGCCCGCTCTGCAATGAACGCAACACCGCCCAACATAGCGTTGCTTCCTGTATGCCTACGTCCAAAGGATGCTTTGGGCGATAGCTGCCGCTTGCAGGTCATCCTTGATTACTCAGACCCAGCCAGTTGCTGTGCTCTGAAATTCTTTCACTCTAATGTGGACATTCCATTGGGGTTGGCCAGGACCTTTAGCGATGATAATGTCCTCGTCATCAACTACAAGCTTGCAGGCAATTCTGACAATGTCAAGAAGGGCTTCCTCGAAATGATGTCACAAATTCGAGGTGAGCAATGGCTGACGCAAAAGCTCAAGCACAAAGCAGCTGGCTCGACCAACCCAAAGGGCCAACAGTTCGTCCGATATGGATGGGGCGAGCAAAGGTTGGGAACCGTCTGAGGAAGAGCTCATCACCGGCATCCAATATGTCAATGAGCATGCCCCTTTATCAAATTCCAAGAATGAGCAGTACCTATGGGTCTGATGCTGCTGCTGATGACGAGAAGACCGGGTCTGATGAAAGTGCTGCCTCAGATTCTTCGTCCTCAAGTTCCTCCACCAAGGGCGCCAAGCGGCGGCGCTTGTTGAATATGGCCCTGACCAACCTCGAGAGCCTGCAGAGGAACCTGCAGGAGGTGCATTCTGACTGTCATGACTGCAGCCGCCTCATCATGCAGACCATCAACGCGATCAAGGAAGCCATCTGAGCATTGTCTGGCAAGAACCCTGATAAATCTGTCTTGCTGCTGCTCCTCACAAGGGGCCCCCAAAACGTCGATTATATATATATATATATAGAATTGATCCTTGGACCCTCAAACCCATGGGGCCTAGTTCCTACAGTAGGCTCTATCCTGTAACAGGGGGCTCGAAATTCCGGGTTCTCTGATCGGAACATAGCAGGATCCTGCAGTGGTCCAAGTGGAGAAGGAAGTTCCTGAGGCCGATCTGGGATGGTTTCTGATCTGACGTCGTCGTTTTTCTTTTGGCGGGATCGGATGGTCGGCCCTGCTGGCGCTTTGGATGGGATTTATTTAAGAAGTTTAACTACAAAAAAGTAGCACTTAAAACTTTAAAACAGACAAAACATCTCATAAGAGGTGAGAAAGATCGAGGGCATCGTTCCTTTTTCCAGTTCTGCCGACGTTCTTCGTCGGCCCCTGGAACACCCATATATCAGACGTTCGTCTTCCTGCTTGGCACTTGGGCTGGAGGTTTGTTGCGGATTGGGGATCGGTTTGGAGGTGAAGGGTGGTCAGGGTGCCAGTGCCGTCCCTCATGACCTTCTGAGGATGTGGAACACGAGCCCTTCATTTCTGGAAATTTCAGGGAATTGGACGGATTTTCTAGAGATCCGGTGGTGAAATCGATCCAGCGACTCAAAGAAGGCATAGGCAAGTGAGGATGTTTTTTTAAAACACTGGCATGGACGTGATGGACACATCAATGCGGATCCTATGATTGAAACCCAGCGCCTCCACAGATGTGAACTTTGCTTTGGCAAAAACACGTGTTTGTTACACTTTGAAACCCAGTCCTTCACATGTTTTTGTTTCAGTTTCATCGTGCTCTATGCATCTCTATGCCATAGACCGGTGAAATTGTTGCAACATTTTCTGAAGCGATTATGGTGGACGTGGAAAGTACCCTGGGAAGATGATTCTCATCTACAAATGGGGGGGTTGTCCGCTTCCATGTTTGTTGCAGGGAGGGTATGGGTGTGTATTATAGTACTTTAAATGGGGAGATGCTCAACCAATGGACTTTGGTCATTTTTGGTCTTTGTTCCTTCTTCCAGTGGTCTTTGCGAGGTCTTATTATGATCAACACACCCGGCATACGTTGTTTTTCCTTTCTGTTCCGGTCAAGCTTCCCCTGATTCCCCCAGCCCCATGAAGCTTCGGGTACCAGGCAGCCAGCCAAGAGCTTGCGGAGGCACTGGGTCGGCGGCCAGGACGGGCAGAGGGTGGTGTGGGTGCGAAAGTCCACGAATTCCACTGAGCTGCCTGACCCACCACGCAGACCATTTTTTTACGAAAAAAACAACCTGGCTGGCTCTAAACTGTTATGGATGTGGTGGATGTTTTTGAACATGACCCACCCATCAGCATGATTTGGGTACACGTGAACCTAGGATTATGGTGTTTTGTTTGTGAGACTTTTTCTCCAAAGGCTTCCAACAGCGCAGTTGGTCTGCTCCAACCCTCCAATAGCTCACAGCGGTTCTAGCGACCGCGGTGCCAAGTGGCGACACAGGTTGTGATTGTCAACAACACTATATTGCTTCGAAGACCATGCTTCTTCTTGGAGGGATTTGTATATGGTTGTGTCACATGGTTTCTTTAACCATGATGTTGCTTGTTGACAGGAACTTGTTTACCCATTTTGTCCCATGATGTTTACCCAAATGTCAGGAACTGGTTGATCTCTTGAGCGACTTGACTTCAGTCGCTCAGATTGTGAGTACGCTCGAGTCTGACGTGACACATTTTTCAGATGCTGGACCGGTGCTTTCGCCAACCCAACGTTTGGCCGCTCCCTGAAACAGCTGGAAGGCTTGGAACCAAACAAACAGGTTTTTGGTCTTCAACGTCTCTCAATCAGGTTACAATTCTTATGCCATGACCTTTCTACTAATGCCAGGAAGTGAGAGAGAGAGAGACCACATTCAATTATATAGGCATACTCTCTACCTTTTTCAGTTGTGGCACCTAATAAGTGCCAAATGGTCACTGAAGGTTTTGGTGGGAGCAAGCTCCCTTCCATCAAACCATATGAAACCTTTTTTTTTAAGGGTCAGAGAGGCAGCGCATTTCGTTGTTACTCGTTGGGTGTGTCCCGGGATGCAACCGTCGATCAAAGATGATCTCGGCTGCAACCAGGCCTCCTCATCCACAACGGGTCCTGGTATGCCCTGGTAATGGATATACCCACGGTACTATCTTTGACTCGCGTCCCCGTTGGCTGAGTGACAGCTGCTGAATGAGCGCGACAGGCTCACGGCCTGGAGGAAGAGGCGAAGGTAGAGGAGTGAAGAATCGAAAGGCCACTTGGATTCAAGAAGTAGCTAGGTCTTGCCGGAACACAGACAGCTGCATGTTTGTCATGTACGTACTATGTTGAATCATTTTTTTTGGGGGGGGAACATGTTGGAACGATGAGCAACCCCGATCTGTTGGCACAAGAATCGGCAACCCAACCCCCAACCCGTTGAAAACACGAATAGGAAGGCCACTGGCTATTGTAATCATAGAGGTGTGGGTGCTGCTGTGATGATCCGCTGCCAGGTCGGCAGGTACGCACGCGAAGACTTCCCCGCGACGGCAGAGACACAGGGGGTGTAGACGTGTGGGCAGGGTGTAGACGCGGCCAGCGGCGGTGTCACATGGGAGACCTTGACCGGTCGGAACAGGGTGAACATAGAAAGTCACTGACCTTATAGGGCTCCTGGCCCATATCCTCAGGTTCGGTGGTATTCGACCCCCCTGGCACCCACCCCAGTCCCACCTTCGAAACGGAGGTGGGCCAGGAGCCCTAGGGTGAAATAGCGAAGGACCAACCAATTTAGATGTATTTAGATGTTGTGGCGCGATGAAAGCACGGAAGGCAGAGCTTGATTTGCAATGATTGTTGCGGGGCCGTCGATGGATTTCAGCAAGGCAAGTCAGACAAGGACCAGTGGGCCTCGAAAGGAAGTTCCCAAAACCAACAGCTCACGTGAAAGATCACCAGGGTCTAACATCAGTGATTCCCTCTTTCAGGGTCTTCCAGATCACACCGGCTGCACCGGGGGGTGTTTGTGACCTGACCGGCCTGAAGCGTCGGAGACGGAAAACGCACGAAAACGCCGCGCACGCAGTGGAGAGGTGGGTGCGAGTCTGCAGGGAGAGGTGTTGAAGGTATAGGGTGTGAGTGAAGGGAAGGGAGTAACACATCCGATCACGGTGGCATTTTCGATCTGGGAGGTGTCCCCTTTTTTTTTGCACACCCATACCATGTGACCTGCCATCCCGCAATCATAGGACGCAGCAGCTGAGTAGACACCCATGGATTGAGGAATGGCTGGTCGGGGCCGAAGGGAACTCCAGCTTCCGTTTCAGTAAGTGTACACATCTTGAGATGTCCCAAGGGCGGCCTTACAGAGACAGCCTCTCTATAGGATTTAGGGTTTAGGGCGAAGGCCTAAACGTTGCACTTGAAGCACGAAACGTTGCACCGGCTGAGTTGCACAAGTGAATAGCCATGCCAGTCCTTATGGGATTATTGTCCTTCAGTTTCCTTGTTCGCCGGGACTCGCGACTCAAGCTGTGAACGAAGACAGTAGTGGTTGGTGATTCACCACTTCCGATTCGTTTTATTCCAACAACTTCTGATGTGGTGTTCCAACATCGTCTAACGTACTTCATTGTCTCAGCCACTCCCTTTCACGAACTTCACCTCTTTCACTTGACTTGCCACTTCACTGTGCCATATTGTCCTGCTTTCACCATCGCGAGGGGCACCTTTTCACGAAAGCTAGCATCAGCTAGCTGGAGTTATCCTTGCTTTCGTCATCTACCCTCGGCCTCAAGTTTACTATCGAAGTCTCTACCGAGCATCCGTCCGACCCTGCCTTCCGTCTGGACCGAGCATCGCCGGCATGGAAGGCGGAAGCGCCCACGCAGGTACCTTCCTCAAGTCGGCGGCGCGCGTTGGCTCCGTCTCAAGCGGGAAGCGAAGGAAAAAAGGAACGCCGCGGGCTGCAGGAATCCAGAGGTGTTGGTTTGGGGGTCGCTTGGAAAGTGGATGAAAGATGCGAAGAGGAATCTAGGGGTGTCAAACAGCAGGGACCCGAGAAAAAGTATGGGTGAGGTGACGCCCTGGTAGCATTTGGTAGCCCAAGCTTGGTAGTATTTGGTAGTCTGCGTTTGATTTCGCACAAATTCTTTTGACAACTGTTCCAACAAAAATTTAACATTATTGGAATTCTCAGGAATTCTCGAAAAAAAAAAAAAAAACTATCCAGAAGACATGAGATGAGCCAAACTCTTTTTAGATTTAAGATGATATCTTATCAGACTCAGAGAGATTTTACCAAAAGCTCAGAGCTGTTTGGTTAAACAGATCAGCTTCGACCAATTGGTTGCTTCCCCAAACCATCCTTAGGAAAGAGGAAAGAGACTGGTGCCTACTGGAAAAGGAAGCTTGTTGGACAACCTATGTGGGTTGATCCAACTATCTACATCATGTCCAGTGTCCAGTGTCCAGTGTCAGCCCGGCCCGGTGCACTTCCGAATCGGCTTCGCATGCAGCCGCTTGCAGCTTCAGGGCAACATGAAACTTTGCCAACCGTTTCTTGGAGCAGTGTTTCCTCTACAAGTTCTAGCGTTTGTTTCAGATACCATCTACCGACAGATGAAGCCAGATGAAGCCAGATCGCACGAAAAGGAGATGCGGATGCCTGGGCATGATGAACCATGTGAAGCCTCTAGATTAACATTACTATGCAACTTGTTAAACAAAGACTTATATAACTGGTACATGCAGAGTAGGCACGGTGGCACGCTTGCGTGTCTTCTGAAAGGACCCCGCCCTGTGAAAGCAAAATGTGTCAGCAGTTCCTTGATATTTCTACAATTTTCTACATGTTTCTTGCGAAACAACATCTGGCTAGACTAGAGGGCACCCTAACCTGCAAGAAGTTTCATTTCGAAGAGACGGACGGTTGGATCCATAGACTTAGAGAGTCCGACACGACCAGGCTCTATTTACAGGCTGTCGGGCACACTGTCGGCTGTCGGTCTTTTCTTCCGTGCCGCTGGTGGATGGACTCGTCTGGCAATGGAGGAAGGACCTTGGAGGAGGCGTTGAAGGCGCGGAGCACGCCGAAATTCTTCAGACTTCAAAGGCTGTGTTCTCGGAGGGTAGGGATGTTTTTCTAGGGTATCCCAAGAAACCAGCACAACCGTCGGTCAGAAACAATATCATCATTATTCTGGGGGGAGTGTGTTTGCAACCATCATCCATTAGGGCCCTTGGCGGTGAGGAATAGACCTAGCCGCTATTGTCCATGATCTCTTCTGGATCCAATCGAAGAACCCAAATTGAATTAGGATGGAACTGCTGGTGCTTTTTCAGCGCACGTCAAGCTTGGTCAGACCAGCGGCCACTGTCACAGTCGCGGCCTTCGGCAGCGAAGAGACCCTCCAAGAGTGCCGCAGCAAACAGCTTTAGGGGAGACGCAAGTGTTTGACAACACTGCTCAAGATGGTGGTTCGGGCGTGTTTTTTTAAAGACATGTTTACGAGGTGGAAGTGGAAGCCCCACGAAATTGTGGGCCCAGGACAGAACTGTCCTTTTTTGTTCTTGCTTTGGATACGGCAGAATATGCGCAGAAATCCAGCATCTAACGCATCTAACGCCCACATGTTCTCCGGACCATTCCTCCACGGTCGCAGACATGTTTTCGAACGACCGCTCTGGGTCGTCTGAAGTGAACGACCGGTTTGATGGGACCGGGCCTGTGTCGGTCGATGGGTTTGGGACCAGGAGCTTTGCGTGCGCCGTCCGGGGCTCGGCTACCGGGCCTACCATGCACTGCGGCTCGGATGGTGCCAAGCACACGTGGGAACCGGAACGCTCCGTCGTCACCGGAGCAAGGGGAACCGGAGCATGCGGCGCCTTTGAGGCAACCAGGTCACTTTAAGATGGAACGTGTATACGACCTGCCATGTTTACAGATCGAAAGTGTAAGACATGATTCGACGATTTGCCTTAGGAATCCAGTCCTACCGAACCTCAGGTACGGTGATGTGTTCGACACTGTTATGTACGTGCCAGGAGTCCAGGAGGGTCCAGCCGTACCGAACCTGAGGTTCGGTACGACTGGATCCCCAGGGATGGGCTATCAGCCTTGGCCCTCCTTCCGATTTGGACCAAATCCGTCTTCACGGGTCAGCTCTTTAAGGCTGAAGGAGGAGCTGGGCAATGTGAGCCTCAAGAAGGCGAGTGTGTGAGTGTGTGTGTGTGTGTTGCAACGCGCGCGAGCAACAACCCATCATGATCATAGATCAACGTTGTTCCAGAGTACAACAATATTCATATGATTGTTCTAAGTCAAGTAGATGAAGACCTGTGGCAAATCGATCAGTCAGAAGCCATTCTTACAAGGTTAAGGGGCTGATAGCTACCATTGACATGAATCGTTTCAGACGACTCGGCGCCGGTTGGTCGCACAGATCGTGTCACCTCAGGTTCAAGCGGCGCTCCAGTGCTTGCGTGAAGCATCGGCGCCGAGCCTGGCATCCGCCGCAGGGCCGCCAGAAGAGAAATGGCCGCATGGTAAGGAGAGAAGGGCTTGACATGTTGTTGTTTGACATGTGCAGTTGCAGTTAAGCCGGTTGGTTTCTTAATTATTGTCAAGCTGTTTTAAGATGTTTTAAGTAGTTTGGGTACGGCCCTTTAAGTCCAATCTTTTGGGAAGTGGTTGTGCAGTTATCCCAACTGACATGAAGTGCCTTATACCGCACACCTATTATTAGGATGGATTTAACATAATCAGCATTCATCCGCCAAGTTCTCAGCAGACCACTTTGTACACCTGGAAATGGACAACAGATACGACTTGCTCTGTGGACATGTCCCACAGCATGCCCTCAAATAGCATCCAAACACAAATCCCAGACACTCCTCGAGACTGGTATAATTTGACTATAGCTTGGCAGTTTGCATTCCAGTTTCTATATCCCTAGGGATCCAAGTACCTTCTCCGAAGGTGATGTGTTCGACATTGTTATGTAATGTTATGTATATATAGGTGTCAGGAGGGTCCGGTCGTACCGAACCCGAGAAGGTACGACTGGCCTATACCGAGCATTTGACGAAGTCTATGACATATCCCAGACCATCCATGTTTGGAATATATACCTACTACATTGACCCCCCAAACCACCCCTAATGTAGGTCAATATGTCAGTCCCATGACCCATGGATGGTCTGGGTATAACACGCCTTTTCCGTGCGATCACCCCGAGTGAGGCCCCCAGCTGAGTGCGGACTTCACTTGGTCGAGCTTCCCGGCCGTGGCAAGGGCTATTTAGCCATGCGGCGCTTTCGGCGGGGCGAGGCGCAGGACGGGGCGTGGCGTGGTTCGGATGCCATACGCAGGAAAAGTTGATAACCTTAAATTGACCTGTTTTGGGAACTGGGTTTTCCCACTAAAGAAGAACGGACAGAAGAAGGTTAACGGAGTCAGAATGGTGAGCCCAGATGAGCCCCTGGAAGACGCGGCTTTAGGCACCGGCGACGAGCTTGTCATCTTTGTAGAGCGTTGGCAGATGTTGGCAGTTCCAGGACCTCTCGCTTCTCGCTGTTCTTAGGGAAGAAAAGTCTTAATCCCTTGATCAATGGTCAGGTCTTGTTCCAAGACGTGGCGTTCTGCAGTGCGCTCGTGGGCGAGGGCGACATGGAAGAGCTGGCAACTCAATGTGAAGGGCGGCCGTTGGAAGAGGCGCCGGGGAGGAAACTGAGGCGCACGCGCAGTGAGAATCACTGAGGTCATGAGGTCTGAGGTCATGAAGAATTGGTCTTGGATGTTGTTGCCCTAGGGATCCAAGTACCTTCTCAGAAGGTGATTGGAGACTATTTATGCAGGCTTGGAGGGTCCAAGTACCTTCTGAGAAGGTATGTGGACCCTTAAGGAGAGTGGACAACATCAGCAATCAGTTCACCGTGAATGAAAAACACCAGAACATCTGGTGAAGTCGGAGGAAAGGGGCTCGGAAAACGTCCAGGGCCCTTGATCTAGCAGGCCTGGCTGCCAGGTCTTGCATGCCCCACCCCTGGAGAGTAGAGAACTCTCCTGCGAGCAGGTGATGGATTTGACGTACGGTGCCGAAACGCCCGAGCTCCATGGCATTCTGCAGAACAATGTCTTCCACTGCACTCGCGAGGCGCAGAACAAGTGGTGATTTGCGTTGTTTTCCGTATGGGGTATGGGTGAATCTCCTCGGCAGGAATAGTTTTTTGTTTTTTTTTATACTTTTTTCCCGGCAAATCCAAGGGTCGGTGTCCAAAATCGTATGTAATTATGCTTGCTCATTCCAGACTTGGTAGGTGACACCCTATGTGGTTTGGGCATCAGCGACTGCTGTGATCAGGTCGACTGCTGTGCGCTCTTCCTCCGCGTGGCTCGGCTGAACCACTGCTGTCGGCCCAATGCCTTCGTGGACTGCGCTCGCAGCAGCGCCACAGTGCGCTGCCTCACGGACATCGAGGAGGGTCCTGCAGTGAGGTGGTGGGCATACCCAGACCATCCATGGGACTGGCATATACTTATTGACCATACATGGAGGGGTGGTTTGGGGGTGTCAATGTAGGCATAGTGCCTTCAAAAGTTTGCGATGATTACGATTGCATAGGAGCGCTGCATTCATATGCAGGCATGCTCTAGACCCTGGCGAACGAAAGGGGACTCACAACATGGTTCCAAAACATTGGAAAACCACAGGGGGCTCACAAGTCTGAGGATTCAACAGCCGCACATCATAAATTTTGAGCATACCTCATTTATTCCAGTCCCATGGATGGTTTGGGATTATGTGGGGTCAGGCAGGGGTCGGAGTGGGGAGGAATTCCGGAGTCCACGGTGTCCGAATCATTCATGCAGAACATGGTGTGTCACTTAGATTTCAATCCGGATTTGTTTTTTGGGATGCCTGTCCTCCTCGTGGAAGGAGCAGAAGCTAGAGCTAGACGGGAATGGTTCACAAGTAAAGACTTATGGGAGGCTGGCCTATTATAGGCTTCAAGAGGGACACTGAATTCTGATGATGTGCATGCGCAGAGGCCCACGAGATCCACGAGACCCAGCAGAAATTTCGAGTGTGTTGACTCTTGACCCGACAGATGGGGAGAAAGAAGCACCTGAAAACAAGACATCCAGAAATCCATCGCAGCGGTTTTTCCATCGCAGACTTGACCTCACTGCTTATTAAGAAAGATCATCCAACCAACACCTCGAGGGATGGGAGGAACATGTTACGCTGATCTTGTAGGGGAGTGGACACCTTTTGGGTGTTCCACTGGAATGGGGCCGCGACCTGTGTTTTGATGGGCTAGAGATGGCACTGAAGAAGATGTGCTGGGAATCTACCTCCCACCAATGATCTTTCGGAAAAAACTCGTTCCTTGCAAAAAGACTTCAAGGAGCCTGCCACCTCCCTTTTCGAGTTCTTGGCAAGCGTCTTTTCCTACCACACTGTATATATCCACTTGTTGTCCAATAATTATCCATCAAACAGAAACTGCTTTACTAGACCTCGCTACTGCGTCCACCGTGTTGGAATGCTGCGTCTCGATGTGGTTTGCAACATCATGCCAGCGGCATCGACTTGACCGGCATCGCCCTCGCAAGAAGGGTGAAAAATGGACGGACTACTGTATAACTATATATGAGTGATTGAGACTGGAGTGGATGTCTACCAGAACCGCACAGATTCATTTAAACAAAAGTAGTCTCATGACTCTTGGCTAGATGAAGGGAACACCAGGAACGACTCTTTTGTTTGTCGCTGCGGCTTCCGCGTTTTTGCAGGAGCAGCAGGAGATTTTGATCTCCTATGTCCCAGTCAGTGACCCACGGCCACTGAGATTGCAAGGAGGTGAAACATCTCGATGCACATCATCGCATCGTGGATGAACATCACTTTTCACCACCCGGATGAAAACCCCAAATCAAAAAGAGGTGCGACGGATCCAGGCTCCCCCGTAGGAAGATGTTCTGGACTTTGCTTACCTAAAGACTCATGTAGGACCAGGATGATTGTATATACCCAGGGACCCTGGCCTTTGCTAGGCTGTAGGACCAGGACTCTTCAGCTGCGGTTGATGTTTCATCAGCTGCCTTTGTCTCGGTCTTCCGAAGCTCCAGGCGTTTTGATCAACTCGTGGTTTGTTTCGTCCAGGCGCTGCTGAAGACATCTGTGGTCACAGCTTGATTGAAGTCTGTTTACGGTATGGCGAGGGCAAGCGGCTTCCAGCACGCATGGCTTTTTAGCATGTGCTGCACAGTGGGGGTAGGTGCAAATTACCACTTGCTGAAACAAGGGTGCGTGATACGCTCAAGTCCATGCAGATACCATGGACTGCAGTTGTCCTCACGACGTGTTTTCGCTTTAAATCGATCCTCTCAACATGCTGTTGGGGGTGGTGAATGGCGATTCCGCACGTGAGCGAACATGGACAAAGTGCTGTGTCCTTCCTTCTACTGTCACAAGAGCTTTTTCCGCTTGCTGGGGACAAACAGGCTCCTCACTGACCGTCACTGACCCGCTAAGCGCCCGCCCCCCCAACCAAATCAACGGAAACAAATGGTTGACCGGCAGACGGTTGGGATCCCGAAAAAGGACATGGTCCATTGTTGGTGACCGATTTGAACAAGCCAAGGCTGAAGAAGGTCGAGTCAAGGCTGAAGGGATTTGAACCTTGATCGGGTTTGGGGACAAACAGATCCAACCCAACAAGCATGGAGGCAGGATCCGCACTCATAAGATGTCAAAGCACACACAAGTTCATGCTGAGATCTCAGGCCTTTGCGGCATGAAAAGCTGGCCGGAAAGGGCTTCGTTTGTGACTGCTTGCGCTGCCAGGAGCTGGGTTCTGCTTCCATTGAAAACCGCTTCCAAACCAGATCAAATGGCAGGGTCGGGGTGATTGGCGAGGCATCCCTAGGCCAGGGTGTGTTGTGGTTACGTTTGGTGTTGTCATGATCTACATAATGCAAACATATTATATATATATATTGTCATTGAGCAGGCCAAAGCAGAGCCTTCACCAAAGAGCACGCAGATGCACCACAGTGTGAGAACAACGCCAGCAACAGTGCCTGCTTTGTGCTGACGCTGAAGGCCTAAGTATACATGTATAGTCTATAGTGCAGTAGGGTGTAGACCATTACCAGGGACAGCAGTCGGTAAAAGATTGTCACTACTTTTGAGAAAGGCCAGCCACCTGACCATCATCATCCACTGGGCCCTGGTAATGGGATATATAGTACAGTATACTTATATATATATACATTATATATATATATAATCCATATATCAGCAACATGTTATACATTCATGTCGTGCCTGAAGTTTGTGCGAAGCGGTGTAAGAACGTTGGTTCAGCTACCAGACACGACTTTTTGAGTCAGTTCATGTGCCCATCCACCTCCGCAAAGGAAGCAACATGTATGCACCTTATAACCACCCTTGTTGGTCCATGGGTCCATCGGATTCTTGCTTGAACCACCTCTATTTCTTGGTGCGTTGGTCCCTTTTGTGCCATCCGTACAGGAGGAGGCTGCCGAGGCACAGCACCGATCCGCCTAGTCCAAGCTTTAAGGGAACATCTACAGGGTGAACACCCATGTGTCCGGTAGATTTTCTCTGAAAACCCATCCGAGTAAAGACTGGCAGAGCAATTGGATCCTGCAAAATGGCGGATCGGGTGATTTCTCTGGTCCTGAACTGGGGGAACCCCGTTCTAATTGAACATATATAGTGGTCCCCAAATAGATAGCGGCATGGTTTTCCAATAGAATGTGTGGGTATCTACTGTTTTTATCGAATTTGGGGGTCTATCGGTCTATCATGGTCTATCTATCTGCATAATATTTCCGGTTCTTGGACAGCAAATCCAAGGAACCCCGATGATTCGCTTTTTGAGTCGGAGCTCACTACGCCAGGCCACCCTTAGTCCGTGCGCCAACACGGACTCCGCGCTGAAGGAGATCGAGGAGGCTTCACAGAGGACGAGCACATCAAATTCATCCAAAGACTGTACCTAGCGCTTCCAATGGGTGTCCAATGGTGACCTATAAGCAGTGTGGGGTCGTCCATTGGTAGCCCCTTGGAAGCAGCTGGTATCTTGGCACGTTGTGGGTGAATTTGATCCAAGACCTTTTGCTGTCATGGAACCCTCCCCACCATTCCCCACCTCTTGTTCCGGCTTCTTTTATATAAATGGATAAACCATCGCATCGTGCTTTTTGTGCAGAAATGAACACACTGAAAAACACACACTCGCAGAGCGTCCCGCTCTCTTTTCGATTGGGGGGGAGATTTTTTACATGTCTTTTGCCCCAATTCCACTTCACATCCTACACTCATCCTCCACCCATCCTCTTTCAGATCAACGACTTCATGCGGAGCCCGGCAGCCGCCCAAAGCGACACCCGGCAGCTGCTGGCGAAGCTGTGCGCCGTGGACCAACGGCGCCGTGCGGAGAACGTGGAGGGCGGCTGCGCAGTGGCCACTCGCACTGTACGAAGATCGGCGCCTCAAGAGGGGCCAAAGTGAAGAGGTGCGGGGCCAGAATTGTGATGTGTTTTCTTTCATCCTTTCTTTGGTTCAGTAAGGACATGGCATGGTTTTCAGCTTTCGTGAACGGCCCGCTGGATCGAAGGAAGGCGTGATCGGACTCGGACGTCCAAGGTGACGCTGCTGAACAACCTCTCAAACCTTCACTTCTTTTGCGCCTTGGGCACTCCAAGCTGCGACGCGGCACGTTTGGGTTGAATCAAACGCATGCCCCACGAACGTGACGTAGAAGTCGGCCGCCTTCTTGGATCTTCTCAGGTTTTGTTGGGTGGGTTTGATTCGTCTTTTCAAGGCCGCACCCGCTTTCAATCGAAAGCCTTCGCTTAGTCACACTTCTGGTGCCTCACGCCGGGTGCAGCACGTTCAGTTGGGTGCTGAGGTGCTCAAAACTTGACGGGGACGGCACGTGCGGAGGCACTGGAGGCCTTTTACGCCGCTTGGAGATGTAGTCAGCATGTTCGTAGTGTTGAGGAATTTGATGCTTCTCCCACGGCTTTTTGGATCACTGCCGGCCCAGATGAATTTAGAAGGATGATCAAGAATGTGCTTCTTCCTGCTCTGGCAAGTGTTATTCTTCCTTTAAGTGTGCACTCGAGCCCCAGCGTTGTCCTCGAAGTGGGCATGGCCTAGCAAAGGATGACCGTGAAAATCCGAACACCCAACTGGTGGTGTTCGCACTTCCCAAGACGGTCCATGATTCCAGGTGGGGGGGAGTGTAGTTGGTCTTTGGGACTGTCCTTGGTCCCCTGCGGCCTGGGGAACTAAGAACCCAAGGACTGCAAGAAGGAGCAGATGCTTCGCTACGAGGCCCTGCATGGTGGGGCTGCGCAGCGGGACATCAGCAGCTCGCCTAGCCGTCTAGGGTGGTCTTCGGCACGGTATAGCACGGTCCCCGAAACAGGACATATGACGTAGGTGTGTTGGGAGTGTTGGCTTAGAAATAGACATGTACATAGACCAATCCCCCAAGCATTTGGTTGAACAACATTGAGCAACAACGCATCAAGCTAGGACGGGTCAGCCATGTGATCCCGTCCTCTTTTGTGCTGATCTGTGTATTGGACCAGTTCAGGACCAGGATGTTCGCAAACCGGCACAGTGGTCAAAGCCAGAGGCCTCGCGAGCTTCCCGCATTTCCCTCCTCTTGTGGTCCTTATGAGACAGAGACAGTCGGCCTGAGATCTCTTGGGATGCTTGGAGGCGTAGACCCGGAGACCAGTGCATCCGCTCCCCCTCTTCCAAAACAACAAGGTATGGGAACTCTGGGCACTTTTTGCACACATTTTTGGGGTCCAAATGTCCCGTACGTTGGAGAGCTGTAGTCACTGTAGTTGCGATGTGAGCGAAATAGGCTTATACCCAAATGTTACATGTTTTTTTGGTACTTTTTGATACTTTTTGTATCAATTGAGAGAGGTCAAGGACCCTACTGGGGTATACCTATGGGATAGTCAGAAAAGTGTCCTTCAACCTGTGTCGGAAACCAGAACCAACCCCTTTGGATGTTCTGTGGAAGTGGCGGTCAAATCTGTTTTTCTTGAACGTGAAGACATGACCAACGTTGGGCCCGGGCCGAACGCAACACCCTATAGACTACTTGACGGTGACGCGATCAACGCTGTTATAGGTGCCAGCCAGTCGGGATCCAGGCGATATCACCATCCCCGGAGCCGGGAGAGTGGTGCGAATGCGTTGGTTTCGGCTCGTTCAAGGCTACTTGTTGGCCCTTCAGCGACTTTTCTCCCTTGAGCCGGGCCCACCGCAGGAACTCAGGCCAGGAGACGCGACGGTTCCGCGACAGTTACTGTCGAACAGTTGACGCGCGCCGGTGCTTCTCTCGTGGGAGGGAACCCTGGACTGGAGAGTCCCGCAGGGGTCCTGCTGGTGTGGCTTCCAGAGTTCACCTTATCACACACCTTCCATGGGACTGGAATAGTCATTGACCCCATGAAAATGACCCTAAGTTCATGTAGGTAAAATTATGTATATATAACTCATATAGCTATTCCATAGGTGGTTTCGGAATTCTTGGAACTCGAAATGTCAAGAATCCATGCCGATGTGAAGACGGTCTCGACCATTGGCAGGGGGTGACATCGCACCCCCGAGACCCATCCACGTGTGCGGAAAGACTGACTCGCTCCACTAAGCAGGGGACCAGTATGATGTGAGAGGCGAGTAAGTATTGCTGGTAGCGCAATAGGTGACTTTTTAAGTGTATGTTTCCTAATATGGGCAAATCCAAGGGGAGAGAGTGCTGATTGATAAGCAGCTGCAGGGGCGGAAGCTTTGTCCCACAGTTCCCTTGACATCCATTGCCGCTCTAGCATATGCGTCACCCAGGCTTAGACATGATGATTGGGGTCCATATATAGGTGCCTATGTGGAATGAGTGGAATGAATGATGAGTGATACTTTGGGTTTGTCCCACTACTTGTAACAGCTAGTGAAGAATTATCATCTTCTTGAACAAAGCCTTCATTAGCCATCATCATGGGATATATAGACCCAAGATATACTGTGATGGGCTCCCGCAAAAATCCTTGGAACCTTTTTGGGCTGATTGAAGTCCTTACCATCCATCCCAACAAACCTCTAGAACAGATGCCTGCAACCACATCGACCGGGCCGTCCCGAACCCCATCCCAGTCGAGCGAAATCGGCCGAAATCGATCATGAAGAGCTTCTCCTGCGCTTTCAGCCAGGAGTGCCTGGCTTCAGCAGCTGCAGCGTGCATCGCTGCTGCAGTACGGCGAGTTGCAGCTACCCCAGCTGGGTCCAAAAAGAGAAAGACCAGACGCGCAATTTCGCGCAAAAAGCTGCCAAGACGAGCTCGAACCCTGGCGAATCGGCGGAGAACCAGTGGGAGAACCCGTACAAGCTAGCCGTTTCGTATACGGGATGGTCATCAAGCTGCACAAGCTGGGGTGAACATAATAGAAGTGTTCTACGTACGTCGGTTTGTAGTAGTCTTAGTATAGGACATCATTTGAGGTGGCTAGTGAGAGAGGGAATGACTTCAAGAACACAATAATTATGAAGGTTTTGGCTGATTCAGGTAACCCAGGAGCTGCTGGGAGTTCCTATCAAAAGCCGCTGGTTGGGACCCACCCCATTGAAAAACACCTCGGTCTCTTCAGGCCTGAAGGGGGGCTTGTTTATGAATCAACATGTCTACCAGCACCCGACTCTACAGGTCACCACCTGCTACTTTTAAGTCTGGGTAATAGACACCCCTTAAGTCAGGGGGTCCTGGTTAGCTGCCAGAGACCCTAGGAGACCTGGGAGAGGGGCTATCAATAGACACCCCTTAAGTCAGGGATCCTGGTTGAGTCGTAGATCAGACCCTGCCAGACCCTGCCAGAGCTGCACATCAGACCCTCGCGAGCTGGGAGATCAGACCTTCTCGAGACCTGTCATCCAGGAGGAAAGACCTATACAAGGAAAAGGAGAGAGGTCACCTACTAAAGGCAACCAAAAGCAACTGTTTGTTTGGGGGGAATAAGCATATTTTGGTTTCTCCACACCAAAAGGTCGCAAAACCAACAGCTGGACACTTTGGCACTTCCAGACCCGAGCTGTCGGGCGCCAGGTCCTCTTGGATGAGCCCGACATTCGCTTCTGCGTCGGGAGCCTCGTGTGTCGGGGACACCGGAAGGACGCGGGCGGAAGACCCAAAACCAGGTGGCGTGGAGTTTGGGTATGTGCGGGAGGAGTGGCGAGATTGCAACACTGACATTGTTTCTAGATTGGGGTAGCCCCCAGAATAATTTAGCAGGTTGATCTAGGCAATTACGCCATAGATGACAGTTTTTTGGATGTTGTGGGCACATTATTTTGATGCCTCCCTGAAGCCATCAATGAATCCATGACAGATAGGAACCTTCGCAGGTGTCGCATGTGCATCAACACGTTTGCATAGGCAGACTGTCGAAGGAAAATCATGTACCCATGCATCTCTCAAAGCACTACGACAAAAGGCTGCTTGCTTAGGGATGTTTTTGATTTTTGGGTACATTAATGTTTGTAGGGAGATTGGCTGCACCACAATTCCCAGTGATTTCCGCTTCCGGACCATTGACTAGTTAGTTTGGGATCCTTGCTTCTGGAGTACATGGAGATCCTGCATTTGCCCTATTCTTGAAGGATGTTGGAAGGATGTTTGCATCACCTGGATGCCCCTCTCAAAAGCAGAATTCTGCGGCTCTTTAACAATCTGATGCTTTGTTCGTATGTGTCCGCCAACTTAGTTGGTGCCCGCCTGCCTGTGTTTCTTTACGCTTCCTGAAGCAATCATGAAAAGTGGATGGCATAGGCCCCATGTCCATCAGTCCCCATTTTGTTGTCGCGGATTACCTGTCATTTACCAAACAGGTGGAGTCATCACTCCACTTCAATGTCATCACTCCACGAGGCGCTTCAAGCGCCTGGTTCGCGAACGAACCCGCCCACCGGCGCGGCGCTTGAACGACTTCCGCGTCGGCTCCGGGCGCCCGAGATTTGCTACGACGAAGAGTCCCCGGTCTTCATCGCGTGCCTTTGGGCTCGGTTGAAGGTGCGCAGCTTTGCTCTGCTCGTGCCCTTTTCGCTTCGGGAGTTTAGTTGGAGAAATGGGGGAGGACATGTGGGAGTTGATCTGGATAGAAGCCGAGTGATTCCGGGACACCACCCAACCTCCCAAGCCCCAAGATTACTGTCTCATTCTCATCGACAAAGTGGTCAAATCGATATTTCAAGAGCCCAAGCTTGACGTTTTTTCTCGATATACCACGTTGTGCGTCCTTTCCTGAGGGTTCATTTGGGCATATGGACATTTAGATACATGGCTACATGACTGAAGGATCAACGGGCGCCCCCTGGCTCAAATCTTAGGCCCTTTCCTGTTTTTTGCTGGAGATGGTTTGGAAGATGATTTTCCTTTGGGTTTGGGACTGTAGCTGTTTAGTGGCTGCCATTTACCCATGCTGCTGCCAGTGTCAGATTCCAACAAGGAGATTGGACGATAGACTAAGAACACATTCACATTCAAGAGATTCGGCATCTTGGGTGTTCCCAGCCATGAATTGATAAGCAAAAGCATATTATATGTGTCCTCCAAGGTCCAGGCTTGGTTCGAGTCAAACTGAAGGTTTCAATGATGGTCAGGGCAGGATTGTAAAACATCCTATAAGACAGTTCCTGACCTCGGGCACGAAACCCCAGCAATTGTCTGAACTCTATAGCAGCACCCTTTGACAGGTAGCCAATGGTTCGACGTGTTCGGGGCCCAACCCTCAAGGCCTGGTCCTAGGAGAGGTCACTGTTCGACCAGCTGAGTACTCTTCGACCATGACTTGGTCCAAAGACAGCGTCAAAACCCAGCTGCTACTGTTCCTTCCTGGTGCGACTCGTAGGGAATCAGGCGATTGAGCTCCCCATCGACCTTTCCGTCTTTCTCTTCCATCCTGCCAACCTTCGGACGAACACGTCGCTCCATGAACCCACGTCGTGGCGTTTCGCATCCAAACGCCTCAGGGCTTCGACATCCAAGAGGTGGAACGATCGCTGTGCCAGGCCCGAGCGGATCGCGCCGAAGACCGGTCGCGCGTCCCCGAAGAAGCACCGTAAAGCGGCCGGTGTGGGAGAGACCGGTTGAGGTTGAGAGACCAGGATTTGGACCCTGGGGATATAGGTGGTATGGGATGGGCGACAGGGCCCTAGGGCGGCTCTTGAAAAAACCCTCTCTCTGGGTTAGTAGCGGATTTGAGTGGTGCTTTTGGGTTCGCCCTCTTGATCCTTTTAGCTTCGGTCCCCGAAGACCCTCCGGTCGTTCCGGTCGTTCCTGGTGGGGCTCCGATCCGGAACCTGCATGGCATGGCGGCGACGCATGAGCTTCAGATAGCTTCAGACATGGCATGGAACCTGATGTGGGTCCCTTCCAAGCTGTATAGATGGTGGTTTGAACAACATGAAGTGCAAGATGATCAGGGTTCATTGAGTTGGTTTGGTTCCCCTTCCCTCTTATATACATCCTCCTACTTATGGGATGGTTGCCAATCTATGGTCCAAAAAAAGTGGGAGAAGAAGTGCAGGGAATCTGTATAGAGTCTAGAGGACAGCCCACCTGCTGTTTTCACATGAGGGCAGGGTTCACCTCACCTCATGATGGCCAAAAATGTTTGGAAGTGGAGGGATGGTCAACAACATCCCCTTCCAAGCTCCATTGTTGTTTTGACTTCCTTCTTGTCCAACTAGATCCCAAAACACATCCTACCTAGACCTTGTGCACGCTGTGCTGTTTAGAGATCCACCGGCTGGGTCAGACCCAGCCAGACGGTGTTCTTCTCCTGACCGGCTGACCCCGCGAGCCGCAGGAACGAGGTGAATGGGACAAAGGCGGTGAGTAGGGGACCCCCAGGGCCCCCGCGATCGGTGAGTGAGTGAGGGAGAGAGATGCCAGCACACCCAGCGGCGCCGTGCCATGGGGGTGGGTTTTGGGGAGATCTTGGGTGTAGGGCGTGTCCCAGTAGATCACTATTTGCCACCTATCCATGATCGTCCACTGGTCATGGGATATATCAGAGATATCTCAGATATCCAAGATCAAAGCATTCATAAGAAGAGCAGTTCGGGGGTCAGCATGTTGTTGCGGGCTTTCGGGGGTTGAGCAAGTTGTTCATAGCTTAATCAGTGGGTCCACGGCTTGAGACAAGTGACAAGACTATCCAGTTATTATCCAACTGTTTTTTTGGTTGATGCGACATATGCAAGCACCTCTGCTTCTCCTCAATAGAAGCAGCAAAACAACGGCACATTTTTGAACAAAAAGCATGCTGGAAGTCGACAGTTGGTTCGATATATTCGTTTGTGGGAGCATCTTCCACGTAGATCCAGGGTGCTTTGATTTGATTCCTTGGCGAGTCTCTTGCTTCAAATGAGGTCTTGCTTCAAGTGTCAAATCAGCTGGGGCCACAATCATACACAGCCACCTTTATTTTACCCAAGCCAAAGACAATGCCTGTGACTGTACATGCAGGACATCCAATTAAGGTTTGGGTACATACACAGCCACCAAAAAAAACACAAACTGCCAACCTCTTGTTTGAGCCCAAGTGTCGGGCATCACGCGACACGGCCACAGGGGCAGGTGGAGTCACCGGTGGCGCCGTCCCCCACTCCCTGCTGCGGTGTCCACGACGTGGCGCACTCCATAAAGCAACGAAGGCACGAACGAACGTCACTTGCCCCCCCCCATCCCGCACCCCCACATGTAAATGAACGTCAATATGTTGGTCAACAAAGGTGAACAAAGGATAAAACATAATATAATTCAACACAAAATCATCAACTGCACGCCTCTCCGTGGGGGCCCGTATGGCCGTGCCAAAAGTCGTAAACATGTCCTCGAAGACATTTGTCCGAAACCCGATGACTCTCCGGAACACCCCGGCTTCCACCGGGAGAGCGACTTGGCACCAGTTCGTGACTCCTCTCCAGTGGGTTGGTCTTCCCTGCAGAGTTGTCACCGAACAATTCCTCACCAGAGAGTCACCTCTACTCTCAGGGAAGTACTATGACTCCTCACCAGAGAGTCGTGGCACCTATAGTACTTCCCTGCAGAAAATCACCTGGAACCCCAAACCCGCTGGTCTTCGGAACATGGTCTTCAACCACCCGGGTCTACAGGTGTTCGTCGTCCCGGCCCGGCCGTGCTCCCCCTCCAGTCGTTTCGTCTCCACCCAGGAGCCGTTTGCTCCAACAAATCACCCTGGAGGACGGCCGTCGCGAAGAGGCCCAGACCGGTGGAGGACGGTGTCGGATCCGGCCGGTGGTTGGAAGATCGTGCCAGGTAGCTATCAGGTAGCTGTTAGCTGGAAGTGCGCATGTAAATGCAGGGAATCCCCATTTTTTCGTGGATGTGTGGTCCTTCCAGGTCCCAAAATCCGTGTCCAAAGCCAGCTGGCTTGGGCGGACCTGTTCAATGCTAACCGGAGCTGTCAAAGCCTGCCAGGTCTATCACACCTTGATCCGGTGTCCACGGCCGCGGGGCCTCCCGGCGACCACGTGGCCGAAGCCTTCCGGTTTGCGCCCAGTGACTGACGTGGCAGAAGCGAATGGTTGACCTGGTTCAGATGAACTCGCCACTGACTGATGCTCCGGTGCCACAAGTGACAAGTGGGTGGATATGGAAAGACCTGATGCTCAACTTGCTTGGGCCCCATCTAGGCACACGTCCCAACCAGATTTGCCCAGAAATCCGTGCCTTTTCTTGCAGCAATCTTACCATTGCATGGTTCAGCAACCACAGGTAACCGGTGATCTTGGCCAACAAGCACCTCAGCTGCTTGTCTTTCTTTCGGCTGCGCCTGCACGAGGTATGTCACTCATCCTCCTCCGCTGTTCACAGGTCGGCTGTTCGGCTGTTCGGCTCCTGCCCAGGTTTTGGGATCGGGACGTGCTCAAGCACCAATGGAGGCGCCCCGGGGGAGCACGTGAAGGCGGAGACGTCCAGTCCCTTGCGGCCTGCAGGAGTTGTCCCTGGCACTGCATTTCATAGGGTTCCTTGTTTTCAGAGATCCTGGCGATTTGGGCTGCGAGCTTGGCACCCCAAGTGGCAGAATATGATGGGCGAGCTAACTAGATACAGGATTGTCCCGACGAAAAAGTTTGTGACAGGGGTGATGACACAGCCAAAGGCAAAAAACCTCCCATAGACTCGCGAGGACACCAGGGCTGCTGGGAATCGTGTGTAATCGATCCGCAATCCGCTTTGGGTAAGCCGGCCTCAGCGGCAGAACTGCAGGAGGAAGCTTTGGGTGAAGTAAAGCTGTGTATTCATTTCACAAAGCTTAAACAGTGGGTAATGCAGTGGGCATTCCCACCATCAGTGGGTTATACAGTATACAGTTATAGTTTATAATCCACTGATTCCCAGCAAGGAGGAGGACTATTTTAAGGCTTGAGTGACTACATGTGTTGGGCCAACTTTGTGCTTGCTCGGTACTGATGCTCAGCTTGGTTTGAAGCCATACTGGAGTGGCTCGTCTGGAGGGACTCCCCTGTGTAAAGTGGAAAGTGATGTTCTCCATGCATCTCAGTCCCAGCGTTGCCCTCCACCCATCCCTCTGATGGAGATCCCATCAACTAGAGACAGAGGGCAGGGTCAGACAGAATACCCCTGGCATGGATGGTCTTGATATGTCTTGATGTAGTTCCCTCCTGTTTATTCACGCTTGGGATTGTTCAGCCAAACGCTGGTGTTCTTTGTGCGCTGTTTTAGCCTCCGCTCGCCTCGCCTCGCCTCGGGAGGCTTCCTTTGGATTGTCAACATGGCCAAGGTGCGGCCTGGTTTGGCGAGTATTTGTGTATTTGGGAGGAGAAGGGCCTTGTGTTTCAGCGCTTGGGCTTCCAAGCTACCAGGTGGTTAGCAGGTTCCTAGGGAAACTGCGGGAGGCAGCGTTTGACTCGACAAGGTTTCCACAATACAAGGGTGTGCATCAGTTCACTTTGCTAGGATGATCTAGGATGTGTTTTGTTCATCGCCTTGTGGCTTTTACCCCTCTTGGACCTTTGCCAACTACGAGTCAAACCTTTGTGAACCACAAGGACCTTGACTTAAGTTTAGCAATGCAGTAGACCGTTTGGAGTGGGTCTCTCAGGCAGAAAATCTAGCACACTTTATGCAGTCTGACCACTGCAGTGTCTGTTTGGAGCCGGTCACATGGAACCAAATAGTGAGTGGACTTGACATCACCCCATCACAAGTGCAGCGCGCTTTACCTTGCTTGGAATCATAGCAGCATGTCGATGTGCATCACAAGAGTTGGCGAACCAGGGCGTCCAAACTGGAGCTGGTTCTAGGATGTTTTACAATCCTGCCCTGACCATCATTGAAACCTTCAGTTTGACTCGAACCAAACCTGGACCTTGGAGGACTCTTATAATATGCGTTTGCTTATCAATTCATGGCCGGGAACACCCAAGAAGCCGAATCTCTTGAATGTGAATGTGTTCTTAGTCGATCGTCCAACTCTAAGATTCCCGGCATTGCAGTTCCTCCCTCGCATCCTGGCGAGAATCCCGGAGCAACCCATCACTTTGTTGCTACAGAGAGACCGAGAAGCATGCAAACTGTGTGCCTGCCTGAGACCGCGTGCCTTCGAAGGATTTCCGGGTTAATCCGTGTGTCAATCCATTAGACTCTGCGTGAGGAGTCCTCTGAACTTCCGTAGATTCAACAGCGTCTTAAAAAGTCACAAAAAACAAAGGCTGACCGAAGCACAGGTTGTGCCATTTTCCCTGCTCCCTTCGTTGGTCTCGCCCCAGGTTATGCCTTGGTCTCCCGGTCACTGGAGGCCACAAGCGCGCAGAGAGGGAGATCAGAAAAGGGGGTGAAGCAAAAGACTGCTATGGATCTGGTGATGTCAAGGGACATTTGTTCTTAGAAGGGCGGGTGGCAGGGCTGATGGACCTATAAAATTATCCAATTCTTCATACATATATATATAGAGAGAGTTTTAGAGCAGATATGGAGAAGTTTGCTTGCAGGAGCTGCAAAATTCGAGCCACATATTTAGATTGTTGGAAAGGATGCTCCCAATTTTGTTATCCGCGTGCAGTACGTTGAAATTAGTACTGTATATATGGATCTCGTCGCAGTATGCATTCTTTTCTTTCTCCAAGACGCTCAACTAAAGCCAGCTGCCAAACCGCTTGTGGAAAGCCTACCATCGAGTTCACTTGAACTCTATTTCAAGATACTTTAAAGTGATATGCGTAGGGAAGCGCAACTCTGGTGACCAGTGTGGGTTCCCCAGACGTGTCCGGCCTTTACTGACCGTGTGGACGGTGGTGCAGGATGAGCAGCTGCAGCCGGACTCTGAAAGGGTGAGAGCCTTTGTGCATAAGGCAGCAAGGAGGGATCGGAGCGAGGCTCCCCGCCACGGCTGCCAGGGGTAGATCTGTGACGTTTCAAGGGGGCAATTTTTTGGGCAACTGAACCTGAGTGGCTTCTATGTTGGACCACAAACCACTCCAACAAATCATGTATCATTACGTGTTTTCCATTGCGTATTGTCACCTCAACCCTCCTAATTACCAGATCTGCAAGACTGAACGTAGTGTTGTTTGATGCTGTTTCTGACGTATATACAGGCTTGCTCGTTTCATAGGCATTGTTTGAGTTTGAGGCCCATGGCAGGGTCTCTCGGCTTCTGTCCTGGGCAGGTCCAGTCTGAAATCGCAAAAACTGGTCATCAGAATTTTCAGTTAGCGGGGCGTTTGTGTAGCAAGCAAGGTTCCCAAAACATGAGGGCAGAACAAATAACACCCAAATCCCCGACACTCCATGGGACTGGAACATGTTGCATCATAGTTAACAGTATACAGTATACATCAACAACCACCATTGGCGCAACGATGGCAGTTGAAGACGGATCGTGAAGGGTCATGTTAGTGAAGAACCAGGGACGCAATGCTCGGTGGAGGCCATCGCGTTCGTAGGTTGTTTGGCCATCGCAGTCCACACGTAACAAGAAGCTGCGCACGTAACAAAGTCCGCACATCAAGTGGCAAAATGTGTTTGCTCCATCCTCGCTCCAACTCCAACACGTGCAGCAGAATGATTTCCATTTTGGAGACCCGTCCCCGGTGGGATCTTTTGATAAATAGAAACGTACCACTCGAATCAGCTTTTACCATCCATGTCTGGTGTGTGTGTGTGTGTGTGATAGATCAAGATTCTCTACCAGGACCTTCCAAGGGATGTCTATTTATAGCCCCTTAGCTGTTAAGGGGTGTCCCCTTGAAGGCCCTGGTAGAGGCTTCTGATGTTCATGGACTTGTCGGCCTGCACCATCCCCGGCCGGCCCGTCACAGGCTGGTGCTCTCATCCGCCCGGCGCGCGAGGTGCCACCGCGTGCGGAGCTCCCCGAGGACGAGAGCCGCTCGGCCGGAAGACCTGCATGGCACGGTCGGTTTGTGTCCCGGTACACCTGCAGGGCCGTCAGGTTTCACCAGCCCATCACTATTGTTTAGAGATCTTTGGCCTGCAACCAGGCCCCTTCATCATCCGCTGTTGCTAGGTAATTGGATTGATACCTGAAGACCTTTCTTTCCTCAAGGCCTCGAAGGCATCTATGGGCCGCTGGTTTTTCGTTAGTAGCCATTCATGAAAAATACCTCCCACAGAATTTGCCGAGTCCTTACTTTCCGAAGATTAAATATTTATGTGTACTCGTTTGTAGCACTGAGGGCAACCCTATGCAATCCTCGTCAACCCTCTATTGTTTATCAAAGAAAAACTCGAAGCAGCGCATTTGTTCATCTCTCATGATGGAGACTGCAGTTCGACCAGCATGAAACTCAGTGGCTCGTGCCAGTGAGGTGACTCCGAACCCATCGCCAATGCCTCCATCGGCACTGAACTCACCAGTTGTCAAGCTGGCGAGTATTTTTGTCATATGAAGGTCCTTAAACTGGCGAGTACAAGAATTACGGACGTGGGCATTGCGGCATACGTGTTAACAAGGTCAAAAGCATGGGGATGCATGGGGTATTACAAAAAACAAAAACATCATTGGTGACAGCAGAACGCGTGATCAATGCATGAATGTCCGAGTTGGCTGGCATGAAGGCCAGGTAGTGGCAAAAAACAGGTCCAAGCCTTGACTGTATACAGGTCTTAAAGATCTCGGTTTTTGTTGGAGTTGGGCCATACAAAAAGCACTACTTGATGAGGTTGTCAGGACCTAGGAGACTGGACCTGGGGTGAGATGTTGGACCGCCCCTTCGGTTCGCCCTGCCGTCGATGTTCGCCGTCTGAGTCTTTGTTTCAGAGACTGCTGGTGCATGGAGTCCATTTTTAGTGGTGATCTACCAGGGCCTTCAAGGAGGGTTAATGGACACCCCTTAACAGCTAAGGGGCTACAAATAGACATCCCTTGGAGGGTCTGGTCCAAACTTCTATCTATTTGGGGGTCAAGGCCATGAAGGTACGCCATGAAGGATTGATGTACGACAGCGGTAGGAACTCACTTGCTTCATCATTTTACTAAATCTTATGCTCCAAACTCCAGCTCTTGTACTTTGGGGGTGCTCCACCCGATCCGACAAGAAGAACTCACCCTTTCTTCCAGGTTTGGACGGACACATTTCAAGATTCACCTCATGGAGGGCAGCCCTCCAACAGGTCAGTCTCCAAAAAGCCTCTGGAACAGACATGTGGGAGGTGCTGGGAATGACTTGAAGATGTTTGACTACCTAGAAGACCCGGCCAGGTAGTCAGATCGACATGGGCGGTTTGATCCCTGCGTGGGCCACCAGCTACTTGTCCTCCGTGGTCGCGGGCAAGGCAGGCCGAAACCATCATACGATCTGGGCGTTGGGATTCACGTGGTGCATCTAGTTCAAAAAAAGATCACGAAAAGGAAACAGGATGCTAGCCATATGAACAACTGCATATATGATTCACACCCAATTTCAGCACAGCAGAAGCAGTCAGAGTGTTTTGTGCTCTCCAAATTCCGTCGGATGTCGCCCCCTGCGCCGCATCGAAAGGCCTTGAGCTGGACCGAAGACTTGAGGCACGCCCGGTGGATCGATCGTGGGTGTCGGAGACGTTGGTGGAAGGTCGGGTGGTGAGTGGAATCAATGAGAATGCTGACCTCCTATTCAGGCCAAACGCGACAGACTGCGGGTTACGCGTACAGCGGCATCGAAACCGAAAGCGAAAAGAAGCGTGGCCCTAATTAGAAACACGGCTGCGTTGTAGCGAGACGCCACCGAGAGAGAGAGAGAGAGAGGGGGGGTCATCTCATTACTTATAGTTTTTAGATCTAACAGGCTGACAGACTAAAACAACATCAAATGACTGTAGGGCTTGGATTGGAAGTGTGGGAATGGACCTCCCTCTCCAATGAATCCAGCATCTTCAGATGCGTCCCAAACCACATGGCTTGATTCATGGAGCCAACTCATCAATCCCAAGTGGCATAGACCTGGGGGCCCGTGGACCCGACTTCTGGCAGGTGAAGAAACAAACCCATCGAACAAACCCAGCCGATTCTGTTCGGATCCAGTGCATCCGAACCGGGTCACCGGTCAGATTGGTCAGATGTCATGTCGGACGACTGCGGCCTGCCAGAGGTGGTGGGGAGAGAATTGGAAGGAGTTCAATTCTCTCCCCACTCTGCCCTGAGATAAGGGCAACAAAAACGCAGTGTGACAGTATGATCGTATGATTTGGTAGCACTTCCAAGTGGCGCCGGTGTTTGCCTCCTACAAATACTAGTACTCCTTGTTTGTTTTGGAGCTTTGAGGGTTCAGTTCGCGTCGACTTCCGGTGAGGCAGCACTGTGCAGAAAGACACCGTACCGACACTTGCAAGGAGCGGGTTATGGGTCTCAAGGAGAGTAGGGGCAACTGGGAAGAAGCTAAGTGAAGAAGCGAACCAGAAAAAGGGTCACCTCAGCTTCATTTTCCATAGAACTGAGGGGGGAAGCCTGAACTTAACCATACACTCTCATTCGCTCTTCTCACAGTGGCCTCGGATATCGCATAACGTTGCACACCACACAGCCTGAAGCTGTGACCTTGTCGCCCAAGTCACAAAAAGTGAAAACGTTTGTTAAGACTCCCAACAGAGGTTGAAGGACCTTATAGACCTATCCCAGTCTGGTACCCCAGAATGGTTCTATAAGGTTACTTCACCTCTCTTGGTCTTCCTACATGCGTTCTCGCCCGTACGCCTCTGGACTCTGGATGCCCCACCAGTTGCGCCGCCTGGGCCAAGTCGTCCGTCACCATCCCTCGCGGGCGATGGAGGAGGATGTGCCATCTCTCGCGGAGATCTCCGAATTCCTCATGCCAGGCGGTGGCGTCGCCGATGGAAGTCTGTGAGGAAAACACAGAAGGCTTGATTTTCTCTGTGGGAGCAGCCACTTCATATCCCAGGTCTAAGTAAAGACTTCTCCTTTAACTTACATCAACTTACGCACTCCCTGAAAGAATCCAATGGTTGCGTGGAAGGTATTATCTACAAATGGATGACCATGAAATCCGAAGACCCAACTGGTGTTTTTCCTTCGACACTTCCATGATTGTTTCAGGGAGTGTAGGTGTTTGGTGGACTCGGGGCAGAGTTGGAAGCGGATTGCATCGGATTGCTTTAGAGTTTAGAGCTGTGAATGTGGACTCTTGATTGATGAGCCTCCCCATTTGGATGGTAAAACCTCTTCAGATTCTACATCTGAGAGAGCATTTTCAACCCCTTATGACGAACAAGACATGATCACGTTTTAAAATGGTACAGGGAAGAACGTATCGGTAGGTAGGGTTTTTTTTTAACACAACCCCATATGAACTAAGCCTGGCCCGGGTGTCCCGGTATGAACTTTCAGGGTTATCAAGTTCGACACCCCTGGTCCGGGGTGTACAGCATCTACTCCTTATTGCATCTAGTATGAACTCTTTTTATGCATCTAGTTCTCCGAAGCTCTTCAGCTGCCTCACCTGGTCTGCTGCAGGTTGGACGGATCACTGGGATGACACCGAGCTGGCCGGGGGGGGTTCGGGAAAGGGGAGGAGGGAAGGGCGGTGGCCTGGTGCTTGGCAGATCAAATGGATTTCATGTAATTTTTTCCCTATTTATTTTTGCTATCTGGTTTTCCCCTTTTGGTGAGTATTGGGCGTATTTTCCTGGGGCAAACGGGGAAATCATCCAAGGATGCCCATGGTGCCCATGGATGGATCGATTGGGTGATTGGATGTTGGGTCTATCCGACAAACCCATAGCACTGGAAGATATTGAATACCTACATGGAGTCAAAATGGGTACAGTCGTACCTGTTTTATGGGGTCATGTCCCAATTTTCTAAGCTACTTGAAGTCGGGTGCAGGATGGTCCAGGTACTGTACATGGACTGTCCAGTCACCACAAATGATTGGCAGGCTTTGTTAGGCTTTGTTCCCCGCAGGGCCAGGGGGGCGATGGCCGGCAGCGCCCCCGAAACTGGCAGCACCACCGAGAGTTTGGGGTTTACCACCTTACCGGCTGCCAGAGAGTCGAACCCCCCAGTTTTTTGCTGGGGCGACAGGGATACGGGCATGTGTTTGCGGTGTTGAAAGGGATACGAAATAGTCTTTATAGATTTAGATGTTTCTAGACCCGCCCAGCAACCAGGAGATTCCCTGACCCGGTACTTGGGTACCTGGGTAGACCGAACCCAGGAGGGTTGTTTGGGAGGTCATCCCTGATTCATGCACACCATGCGCTTCTATGTCCATGCGCTTCTATGTCCATGGTGAGTTCCAAGAAAATCACCGAAAGCAAACCTTTGCGTTTCACTCGACGGCTTGAGCCGGCGGACTGGCGGCCGTAGCAGGGAACCATCGCCTTGTTTCATCTATCGTGTCATAAGAAACTTGTGGAACATCTCCTTGAAATATCTCCTAATCATTAACCCCTAACTCTGCCTAACTACAACCGATTGTCATCCATCTTCATGGCCCTAACCCCAAACCGCTGCCTCTGCCCCGAGGTTGAGGAAGAGTTCGACAAGGAGCTGTCGCAGGGCAGCATGCGCGGTGGCCCAGGTCTTGTATAGTATCGAGCGACGGACAGTTTGGTTCGGCCTCTTAAGTTGGTGGGCCGGCAGTTCCACAGGTGTGTTTAATAGAGGTTAGGGGTTCCCATTATCCACTGACTTGGGGACTAATTAAACACCGCCCCTTTGTGGGAATATGTGTTTGAAGGAAGAATAGACAGATGAGAGCTTGGAACACATTCTGGCCCTTTTTGAGGGAGAGAAACCACCTTGTGGGAGTGGGAAGGTGGTTCGGGTGAGTTTGTGGCTCCGACTATCTCTTCAGAGGATGGAGCTAGAGGCGCTAACACCCTCCACCAGGAGTTACAAGCAATCTTTGGCCGGGGCACACACACACACATATATATATATATATACACAAATGAATATGTTGTAATGTTGTGCTCCATGTGTGCTTCTGTTCACAGGTTCTGATAAGGTCGCGTGCTTAAAGACCCCGTTGGCTTGGGCACTTCGTCTTGCCACGTCTTGCTGCCAGCTCGACGCGTCGCAAGGGGTTCCTTGCTGCACTTCTTCAGCGGTGAGTCACCACGGAAGTCGCGCTCGCGGTCGCCGATCTAACAGACTTGGTGTCGGGACTCGATCAACTTGGGCCGGGTATGTCTTACCATTTGCTTATAGACGTGTCTATCGATGCAAGCATGTCTTGGAGGACCTAGCTTTGTCCTTTGCATAGGACTGTTTGCACTTATAGACATAGAAGTGTCTATATAGATGATATGTCTAAACAGAATGATAATCTAGTTTGCTCAAAGATTATCATTTTTCCCTATACAAAAAATATGCTTGGGTGATGTTGGGTGGGTTTCCGGAGGGCAAATCCACGACAGATGGGACTGACCCCCCGGTCACCACTCATGGCCTGATCAGAAAGCATGGCAGTTCCATGGGTCGTGCATGGATGTTTTTTGCCACACTCATCGAGGATTTGTTTCTGCCCGGATTGGACCCGATGACAAGCGTGTGGACCATGCGTGTGTGCTTTTCTCGGACCCTGCCTAGCCATGCGAGCCTAGCTTTGCCACGCAACAACTCGTGTCCAATGAGTAGGAGGCCTGCCCAGTCAGTGGATAAACTATGATAAACTCTTAGCCGTAGTTTCCATCTATTTGGGGGACTTTTTGGGGCCACGAATCCTCCGTTTTGGAGGAAAAAGGTGTTCCATCAATAAGTCCAACAGGTGGAAGAAAAAGCTTACCCTCCCTGGTCTTCCAAGGGTCCAGGCCATCCACTTGCATGATTGGCAGGGAGACTTATCAAGACTGAGCCATAACACAAAAAGACTTGGGTGACTTTCTCCCCAAAAGACGACACAAAGCAAAAACGTCAGTGGTTGCGGAGTGTCCAAGCGCCCCCCCCGGCGCTGAAGGGAGGGGCCAGCGTGGATGGAACGCGTAACGAACGGGCACCCAACGTTGGCTTGATGTGGGCTCCCAAGTTCGGGAACACATCGTGGGGTAGCATCGGCGCCCTCTGAAACCCATTGAATTGAATTGTATTGATATGGCGCCCATTTTGCTGCGAATAGCTGATATGAGAGAGGAATTGGTGCTAATGAGTGGAGATATGTTGTGATTATACTTTCTCATTTAAAGCTGTCAGTTTGGAGAAGCTTCATCCAGTGCCCAAACATTACACAACTCCCACTACAGTGGATTGTTACCACCCAGCACTTTAGGATCGACTGATGGCCTGGGAGAAAAATAAAGCACAGCTTCAAAGTAAATTTAAAGAGAAACAACCCCTAGGGCTCCAAGTGCCTCCTCAGAAGTTATTGGACCCTCTAAACCAACCCCAGTCCCACCTTCTCACAGGGTACTTGGATCCCTAGGTAATTGAATGGCATGCTCACAAAAAGCAGACGAAAGACAGACAACATCTTGGCTGAGTGGGAACCCTCCCAGCCCCCAGTTTCACCTTCAACCCTCCATAGCGGTCGAACCCTCCATAGCAGGGGTTTGTACGTTGACAACGTCCGGATCCATAGGGATATGAAGAAAATAATTCTTACAATACTTTTGCTTATCCCAGACACGACTAATGGGACTGCCATAGGACTGCCGCCCCAGAAGGACCCCCCCGAAACCACCACCCCTGGCCGTTTTGAAGGCAGTCCCAAACAGGTCGTGCTTGGGTATGATGTTCATTTTCCGTTTGGTGCCTAGCACTTCCTGTCTGGGTGCCCTGTCTGGAGACCTGCAAGTAGGGCAGGGTATGATCCTGGACACCCAGACAGGATGATCCTGGTATGTTCATTTTCCCTAGTGAATCCGGTTCCAGGAGCAGCAACTCTAGGAACTGGATTCCCAGAACCTCCGGACTTGGGAATTGGAATGGATTGCCTAACCTATATGCTGGCCGTCACTCTCGCTAGTCCGATGGCAGCGTCCATGGGTCGAAAGTCGTGTTTGGAAAACCACGGAGATCTATCTACCTTGCTCGCGGCCGGGCGTCGAACGAGAGTTGCGGCCGGGCTCCGGCCGAAGAACGGCTGGCGATGGTGATGTCGCCCAGGGGAGTACTAGTATAGATATGTATATATATATATGTATATTTACATACATATAGAGAGAGATTAGTATAGATTATAGATATAATTAGATTATATACCTGCACATGTTAATCTGTATTTGTGTGGGTTGGAGTGCAGAGAAAGAAGAGATCATAGCAAACTTATAATAACATGAAATAAGTAATTGGGTGTCCCATACCCAACTTAGAACATCCAAGTAAGTGGCCCTTTATCTACCGAGTCTGCAAGAACTGATGGATCTCAGGATTCATTTCTGCGGTTTCGATCATTCAGACTCTGTCTCGCCTACTTACCAACAGTCGGTAAAGAAATACAACTACTTTTCAGAAAGGCCTGCAACTGAACCATTATCCACTGGGCGGTCATGGGATACACCCAAAACCTCATGTCTTCTTCACACGACCGCGGTCGCCACCGGTCGCCGGAACCGGGAAAACCGGTCACCGGGCGGAGCGACCGGGCGGAGCGAGCGGTGTTGTTGGTTTTCTGTAGCGTAGGCACACACACACTCATGTAAATGATCATATCGATGTATGTCAATGACTATAAAAAAAAAGATTTAAAAAGTGACCACCAGATGCGGTGTTTGAGTTCTTGATGGCATTCTTCTACACTACGAAAGTGCAAGCCCAACACTTAGCCCCTTGGCTGTTTCGACCGGGCGGACCGGCGTTTCGAGAGCGACTGACGAGTCGCATGGGGTTCTCCAGCGGCGCGTCGGCGGAGGAGTCACTCCGGTCCAAATCCATCGCGCACTTGGCAAGAGCAACCAAGAGAGGTTGAGAGACCTTATAGGACCCCATAGTGGTAGGTATGGGATGGGCGCCCTAAGGCTGTTCAACCTCTCTTGTAAGTCTAGGATCTGATGGCGTGAGAGTTCGGCCAAAGGTTTTGGGTGAGGGTAGTAGGCCATCGCTCTTAGGAGGCTGGAGGAGGCTTAGGTTGCTATGACCCAGAGTTGCGCTTCCAAGGCGTCCCTTGTACACTTTACAGTCGATTTCTCCGTATACGAAAGAAGGGGCGAAGTGACTGGTCAGCATCAAGTAGAATCACCTAAAGTCAAAGGACACTGCATAGTGGGACTCCCTGGTGATGAGGCAATCAAAGCTTTGGACAGTGGGATGCTTGCATTCAATAAAGTTCTTTCGATTTTGCCAAGTGAGCAGTGGGAAGAGCCACTTAGATGCCTTTGTGCATTGCTTGACACAGATGCCACAGAAGAAAACATGCTGCAAATCTGGTTGCGCATTCTGAACGTTGATGTGAACTGAAGCTATGCGAAGTTAACATGCAGAAGTCCTACACCTAAGGTGGGAAAACCATGGAAAACCGATGAACGATGGACCTATAAAGAGCATTTGCCTCATGCATTGATTGCTGTTCTTCCATGTTTTGATGTGATCACTGTCATGTGTCAGAGGTGCCCCTATGTGCCCCTCTCGCTTTAAGAAGTGCTAGCAATGTTTCTGGTGTCCAGATGTGTTCAATATGAATTCCGGCTGGGTCAACTTCGCAAGACCCAAAGGAGATGGTCATGTGCTAGCACAATGAAAGTTGCAAGGGTTTCCTGTATTGATTTGCTATAGCAGCTACTCAGAGGCCACGCATTCGCAAATGGCTAAATTGCCGTGGTCGTTTTTCGCGTTTGCCATGTCATCCTCCTCGGAAAGTTTTGAAACTGGCCTGTCAGGACCTGCATGAACTCTGAGTTGCCCAAGACCGAAGAAAGGAGCCTGATATAGCTTGATACGTTATTTAGCATAGTATTTATATGTATTTATACCATTTGCATCCATTTACTCTGCTTTGAACATGTCCTAAAGATTTCTGGGACCATTTGGGAACCCCAAAAACACACGGGGCAGCGTCATCCTCAACGCTGGACCCCTCGTTTCGCCATGGGCAGCTTTCGCCATGTGGAGCCGACGAGCCTATCGCGTCTCGGACAGAAGCTGTGGAGCTGGGTGGGGCGTGCCCAACATATGACGACGTTCGTAGCGAACCTTGTTCCTATAGCGAACCGGAATGCCAGGAGCGCCCCGTTCGTAGCAACTGGCTCTGGGTGTCTTGCTTAGGTGATTTTTGCTTATTGCTTCCAGGGAAGAATTCACATGGAACCTGATAAAATGGACCTGACCAGACTGGAAGACGATATTCCCAATACCAACCCGACGTGGGTTTGAGGTTCCATGAACTTCTCATGGGCCAACGTGGATGGCATGGTCCTGATTTCGGATGACTATTGTCCGAAGACCAAGCAGGCAGTGTTCACTCCACTTCCATGACAATCTTGCAGGGAGTGTGGAAAATGGGCCCCTGGCCCCTGGAAGACTAATCACCTGGTGGCTTTCCAATTCCATGTTAGTGAGAGTGGGAGTGTAGCATTCCGTTCATGGCAGGTGGCAAACGAGTCCAGTCATCGCGGCAACCAAACCGTGCATGAAAGAAGCGGAGGGGACCCGATCGGGGCGGGGCTGGACACTTCATGCAGAGGGGGGTTTGACTTATCAAGAGGCCAAGCAGTTGGGTTCAATTTGCATTTGGAGGGCTTTGTATGGCGTGAGGGTGGTCCTGAGCGAGGTGAAGAAGTCTGTCGTTGGATACACCAAGTCCACAGTGGGAAGGGAGCTGCTACCTGCACACATGAGGTGAAGAAGACGTGCAAAATCATGCAACATCCTAAGGGTAGTTCCAACCCTTCCTCCTGACTCCTGACCCACACAGTTGCCGGGGACTGGCGGTTCTTCAAATCCTCGGGTGTTTGTGATGTTTTTATTTCTTTGGGGTAATGGACCAAAGGACACCCCAACAGAGGTTAAGTGACCTTATAGGACCCTACTGGGGTGCCTATAGGATAGCCTATAAGGTTCTTCAACCTCTGCTGGCCACCCAACACCAGCTAATATGGAAGCTCCCGAAACCGTCCACACTTCCTGATCTCCGTCCGTTTGCGAGCCATCATTCAGCCTGTCAGGCTATGTCATCCGACCCACCGGAAGGTTCGCGACCTGGGCCAGGGGCTCTCCTTAGTAAGATGCACACCCACAATATGGAGATGTGGATTCAATTGCCTCTCTCCATTGACATATGGATCTATGCCGCTGGGCCTCCTGATATACACCCGGTGTTCGAGACCCAGATGGAACCGGGCGAACGGCAGCCTGACCAGACTGGAAGATGATTTTTCCTCATACCAGTCCAGTAGTTTTCAGGTTCCATGTGGGCCTCCAGAGTGCAAGAATTACACAAAGTTACACCCAATGCCCGCCTTGTCAGTCACATGTTCCAAGGACTGCCTTGGGCGAGACTCAGCGCCTTCCGGTGCTGTGGCAACGAGACTCTGCGCAGTAGCGACTCGGTTTTTGATGGAGGGCGGATGGATGATAAGCAACCGGAAGACCTCCAACGGGAAGCTCTGAGAAGAGTCCCAGAAGGGCTCTTTGATTTGATTGGGCCACTTTTGGAGATTCCTTTTTGAGGTCGAAGACAGGGCCGCAAAAATGGGACAAGTGCAGAGCATCCAAGCGTCCACACGGCTCAAAGCGTCCAAAGCACACCGGTACCACCCCCACCCTCGGAAGCCGCTTGGAAGCCGGAGAAGCTGCGCCAGCCACAGGTGGCAGGTCCAATGTGGCACAACTGGCAGCATCCATCAAGCTGCGGCTTCTGAGCCACCAAGCAGAATTTGGACTTGACATGACCGGAAAATCCCATGTGAGAGCTTCACCTGGGCCTTTACGTTGGGACGTACATGTTCAAGAGTTTCAGACAGAACAATTTACTGGGGTATATAAACGTTTCTTCTCAGGTGGTTGTTGGTTGAGCATATATAAAAGAGCATCCGATCGTATATTGTATATTGTGGTTTTCTTGTGGCAGTGCAAGATGTTTTCGTTCTAAAGCAGTTGAAAACAGCCGAATTATGGGAAGCTGAAAGAATTGAGAGAGAATGAGGGCTCGCTAGAGCCTCGCTCCTTGTGAAGTGTAACTGTGCGGTTGGTTTGCATCATGCTCCGGGATGGGTTTTCAGCCTGGTTACATCATTTTCATTGTTTGGGTCCATGAAGTCTAGGATTCTTGACCAACATCCACAGTGGTGTCCGCCCACCTCGATAGGTACCGGGCGACTCTTTCAGGTGAAGAAAGCTGTGCGATTGACTGCCTCGGCCCCGAGGCGATCTGGCTGGTGGGCAGGGGGAACAGTGGCTGGTGGGATGGCATGGGAAGGACTATCGGTCCAACTGAAGAAATCTTCAAAGGTTTGCTGAACCTTTTGGGTGCAAAACCTGAAGAACATGTGTTTCATGTGGATTCACTGACGGCTAGTCAAAGCAACAGGTGGCTCTGAAGGCTAGAACTCTATGACAGTCGGTGCTTTTGACCCCTTTTCGAGGCGATTTGGCGATCTGTGCAGACTAAACCGTTCAACTTTCTTGGTAACCAGATCGAGGGGTCGTGCCATGGATCATCACTTGAATCAACGGATCGGACCTCAACGGGTGATGTTTTGGATCAAAGGACATTTAGTGTTAAATAAATAGCGATGGCCTCCACCGTAATGACAATGGCCTCCACCCTAATAGCGATGGCCACCTCCAACCTAGTAGTGATGGCCTCCACCTAAGAGATCCTTTTCATGTGGATCGTGGCCAGGGTTTGTCGCCTGGAGTTCCGGACAAAAAAAGAAGTTTGTTTGAACGACAGTTGTTTGTTTGACCTTTAGTCGCCAGGGGGTGCAAAACATGGTGTTTTCAGGATCTGTGTCAAGTCCGCTTCCAGCCCAACGACTCGGTCCAGTCCGCGCTCGGCGGCGGCGGAACGGCTAGTCGCCGGCCGCCGAGCCGCCGCCGAAGCCGCCGCCGCGAGGAAAGGGGCGGGTCAGGTGAGGGGGGTTCACAAGACGCAGAGTCGGTTGAGATGGCTTACCATGACGGCTTGCCATGGCAAAACGACGTCGGGACATTGAACCCCTCCCCCAAGTGGACCTGAGTCGCAAGGCCATTTTCCGCTCCTTGCGTGCCATGTTGCTTGGCATTCGTTGTGGGATGGGAGTGCCATTCATATATAGAACCCATGACCTCTGGTTTGATAAGGGGAGACTATGTTTTCGCTCCAAAACAGGGGCCAATCAGGTTCTAAGCATTAATTGGTTTTGGAGTGGACATGTTGAGAGTTGTCACGGTGAAAGGCACAGCAAGATGAAACCTTCATCACTGGCGGCAACCTTTCTGTGCAGGAGCAACCATGACGAAATGACTCCACAAGAGTGTCCACAGACCTCCTGGAACCGTGCGTACAGGTAATTAGGAGCAGTGTCATTGACTTGGTCAGTGCCAAGTAATTACTGTACATGTTTGTTTGGAGCTACTGAGCTACGATCCTGGAGCCACTTCGTCCGGCCGCTGTTCCAAGGTGCAGTTCCTCAACCCGCGGTTCGGTGCCGCGTCGAACATCGCCGGGTTCGTCCGAGGCACTTGGCGATGGTCTTTGCACGCCGGGAGAGGGCCATCGACCAGACCTTATGCCTCACCCCAGAGGAACGAGGGAAGACACACACGAGATCGGACCAGAGCGTTGCGCGTTTGCAGCGGAAGGAGCTGGGAGGCCGGTAGACACCCGGTAGACCACTGATTTGAGCCACCAAAGCAGTGACCAATTCCTTTGCCAAGGCGGCTTTCTTCTATCATTTTCAATCAAGTCATGTTCCACTCGATGCGGGGTCTAATGTTGATATACATGTACATGGGTCGGTTTGATGGGAACAAACATGCCCGTGACTCGTTGCTGTACCTTAACCAGAACTCCTTGCGACCTGTTTACATCAACATATTTGAAGTCAACTTCGATCTCCAGGATCTGAAGGGGGGGCGCCGGGATCATCAGGGTGTGGCTCCAAGGAGTGTCTTCAATTTCCTGGAGCTGCTCCCCACAGCTGCTCCCCCGACTTTGGGACAGCGAGAGTCTCGATCGGCATCACCACTCCTAGGAGATGAGCATCCTTCAGGAGGCTCCAGATCCAGAAGTGACGGAGGCCGCGTTGGTGCAGCTCCGCGCTGGAACGGTGGGCTGTGTGGGTGGGTGGTTTGGAACGGGGCTGTGCGGAGATGGTGAACGCCAAGAACAAACAAAAAGCCGAACAACTTGCCTGTGCTGGCATGGCGACTCTGATTGTTTGGATTGCAATAATTGCAATACCCAGACACGACCCATGGGACTGCCATAGGACTGCTGATCAGGCCAGGGGTGGTGCCAGGGGGGTCAATGGGGCGGCAGTCCTATGGCAGTCCCATGCGAGTGTTTGGGATGTGCCACACCACCAGTGCCGTTTTCATCGCTCGCTGCGCCACACCACCAGGCCCGGGCTCGGGCGTTGCTCCGCACGCGGCTGCATCTCTTCCTGAGCGATTGGCAGCCGCGCGAGGCGTCAAATGACTTGACGGGTGAGAGGAGCGATCCGCGGGCTGTGCTGGGAAACATTGGCTGTGAGGATCGGTCTAAGCGGGTATTCCATTGGAGACCGCGGGGAGGGTGCGGGTGTCCTTTGTTGTTCACTTCCTGTTTTTGGGGGGGTGGAAAGTTGAAAGCCCAAGAATTTTGTGGTGAGAAACGACGCTCACAAGAACTGCTGGAAACCTTCGCATTCGCAGGAGCTCACAGCTCTTTGTGGGCCGAGACGCTTGGCTGAAGGGGAAGCCTTGTTGAGCCATGGTTCTTCAAGGATAAAGTGACCGAAGATGACCGAAGTATTGACCGATATTGAGTCATTGGCCCATATTGGCCCTTATTACTTCATTACATTGGGTATTGCCTGGCATGATCAAGTGGTCACTCTTGGGCACAACGGGAAATTAGGGATAATATGAATCCTACATGTGAATAGGGTGAATGCAGCGTCCCACCAGCATGGCTTGGCTGGGCACTGGTAGCGACCAAGTTGAGCGCTCAAACCCCAAAACCACTGATGGTTGTTGGAGGTCTGGACAAGATACATCACCATGCAACACCCTTAATTGCTGTTCCAATCCATTCCCTAATGATTCAATATGCTTAGTATGACTCACGACTCGAAAGATACCATGCGCCAGGCTGTACCATATAGCTGTGCACCGGTGATGTCCCTCCCCGACCTGACAAAATCGGCTCCCCGCACCTGAGGACACTCATGTGGGTTTGCTGGCCGGTCTTTGCGCCATGCATTTGAAGGATGGCCATGAGGTGACGCTCTGCGCCGGCCGCGACCTTGCAGTGGCACGTGCCATCAAGGTGAGGAGGTCGACACCGACCTTGGGAGGTCAGAAAACAGATACGTCAGATCGGGGCTGACGTGGGCATAGGTATCAAAAAAAATAAAAGAGCATCAAAAAAAAATAAAAACAGGATCAAAATAAAAATAAAAAGCGAATCAAAAAATAAATATTCCTTGATAGGCCTCTTCTGCTGCTATCCTGGCCTTGTGGTCTGCGGGTCCTCTGGTAATGTGGTCCCTTGGTCCTCTGGTCCACTGGTCCTTTGGTCCCCTGGTCCCTTGGTCCTTTAGTCCACTGGTCCCCTAGTCCTCCGGTCTCCTGGTCCTTTGGTCCTGTGGTCCGTTGGTTATCTGGTATCCTAGTCCTTCTGTCTCCGAGCGCTCTGACAACGCCATGTAGGGCCTAACTTCGTGTGAACGCCGTGAGTACTGCTACTGCTACCACTACTACTACTACTGCTGCTACTACTACTACTACTAGGAGGGGTATTTATTTTTTGATTTTTTGGTTTCTTTTTTGGATTTTTTTGTGGCTTCTGGCTTCTGTGGCTTCTGGCTTTTGTGGCTTTTGGCTTCTGTGGCTTCTGTGGCTTCTGGCTTTTGTGGCTTTTGGCTTCTGTGGCTTTTGGCTTTTGTGGCTTTTGGCTTTTTAGCCTGTCCATCTATCTGTCTATACCTATCTATTTATCTATCTATCTATCTTTCTTTCTTTTGGCAGCTGTTCTCCTTTCTCTTTTTGTATTTGCTTTTCCTGTTGTTTTCGTTGCAGAGACGAAACCAAACAAGGAAGCAAGGAAGCAAGCAAGCAAGCA